GACGCGAATCTATTCGGCAGACTACCTAAGGTTTCCCTGACAATTTCTACCCGCTAATCTAGAGGCTAGGTTACTATTAACGTAAGTACTACCACAATAGCAACGTCACGAAGTATTAGCGTTACTGCAATAGTTGCTAGGTTACTATCAACGTTCGTTGTTGGAGTCACGTTAGTTCTGGATGGTGACTATTCCATCTACTTAGCCAGACCATCACGGCTACCCTTTTCCCTGTTAAAACGTATAGCATTAACTGGAGCCTCGATGGTCGTACGGATGGAACAAACACCAGTACCTTTGTTGTTGGAGTACTACTCTCTTAGCGCGTGGTCATAACTCTTTCCATTCGACAGCCGAAACCGCCTTTACGGCACTTAGGTCCGACTTTGTGCTATTTGCGGAGCTCGCATCCGATCCAGAACCTTTCACCATTGTTTCAGGACCTGAAGGTTCAATTTAGATTTAGATTTAGGTTGGAGGTTAGGTCAGGTCCTTGTAGTCACAATTGCTAGGTTGGAAAAGTGCCAATTCCTGTATTAATCATTTTCTAGTACAGATTCTAGAAGCAACTGGACGAAGAGCAAAGAAAAAACAAAAAGGATTGCAGATAACAAAGCTACGCGGTAGAAGTAAACAAGCAACGAACAAAACTAGAAGTAAGTCGCGGTAAATTTCAAACACTCAGAGAATTCATGTGGGTACTCGTCGAATGCTTTTGTCCAGCTTTGCAGCACCGCTAGCGACGTTCAACGGTACTTTCACGACCAGGAGGATGCTTGAACTTCGAATCCGAACCAATACCAAAAACAGAGACAGACTTCAGGATAGGATAGGAATAGACTCGACGTCCACAGTTTGACCTGTATCCTCAGGCGAGTATGTGTAGCTGCAGAGTTTAGTTCTAAACTAGTACAAACTATGTCTTTAATGCAAACGTGTGTACAGGAAAGATGTATCAGACCAGCGGATCAGGATCGATCAGGTGGTGTAAGAGAATCCAAAAAGAGGGACAACAAATTTTTTAGCAGAGTTGTAGGTAGGGCGTAGATAGGAAGTTTTTGCAGTTTACGGATCGGTCCAAGACAAAATACCAATACACGAATTTTTACAACAACTAACAATCGACACCTCGGTCGACATGATAGGATAGTTCTTAAGGCTATTTTAGATACCAAAGAAAAAGAAAACTTCGTAGCATACAGGTCGTCTCATCAAACATCACTCTTTCTTACTATGTACTGGTCCATATATGCGTATCAATCTAGCAACTACTTATATTTCAAATGCAGTGCGTTCAGTCCAAGAATAAAGACTTACAAACCACAAGACTGTCAATTTATTCTATGAATATGTGTCACAAAAAGGGGTGTGCGTCTGGGACAGCGTGTGTCTCTTGTCTCCAGTTGAGCCAACGTGCCCTGGTTCCTAAACTTTTTTATTGGATGAAATGCAAGTCTATTGCAATGCATACTGTTCTCTCGTCTGAAGAGGACATGAGCGTCAGTATCATACAGGTCGCAGCTATAGCAATGTCCTAGTTCGCCTACTTACCTAAAATTCACAGGAAGTTCTTCTTGTGCATCATAGTTCATATTACCATCGTAATATTGGACGAGGGGAATGTCGAGAGATTGGCGCGGGAGAGTGGCCACAGGAGTGTGCTGGTATGTACATCAACCGATGTTGCAAGGCGATACTTTTAATTTTTCAATTTCAATGACATGGTATGTGCTCTTCTCTGCTGATCACTCGTATTGACACGAGATGCAGACCGATAAAGATTTCCTTTGATATTGCCTGAACCGATACATTTTGTTCAGCTGAACTAGTCCAAACCGATTTCCTCATTGTTTTGGCAGACTAGTATCATCCTACACCCGACAGACTAGTAGCATCTTGGCTTATCCTCGTGTGATGAATTCTACTACTCACTTCCTCACCTGAGCATGCGAACACTAGCAAGTCTGTCTAATTCTGAGCTCTCGTTGATACTTACACTGTAATCACTGTATTCATTCTCCGGAACAGCGACACATGGTGTTCTGCGAAGACTGTATTCTCTTGGTATTTTGATGTTGTACTATTTACAGGATGCCGAACATCCTGGGTGTAAGCAAGCTATTCGATGCTCTTGTCCTGTTCATGTCCATCGAAATGATCGCGAAACGAGTGAAGACCACGTATCAGGTTCCTATTTGGTGTTTCGATTCGAGGAAAAAAAGTGATGACTATTGGCAGTAAACAGTAAAAAATGACTCAAATGTTGAAAAAAATTTATTTTTAGACTCTTGTTCTTTTCTGTTGTTCTTTTCAGTTGTTGATCTTTACAAGACTGACGATGTTGGCGGTGAACTTGCCGAAGCGTGGTACAAATCCCTACAAGCGCGTGACTGTTGACAAGAACAACGTGTTGTATCAATTTGGAAAGATGTTGGGGATGCCTGCCACAGCTGATAAGACAAACTAATACTTGCAGGCTCATGGAGCGACAGTGCGTAAACAATAGTAGCGGCAGTACTAGCATGAATGGCTATATTTTGGATCTTCTGTTGAGCACATGAGGGCGATGATTGAAAAACACTATTGCTTGCGCGCAGTGCACTTTGATCATCCTAGCATTGGAGTTCACAATGCATTACCGAACTAAGAATCCTCTTCTCTTGCTAGCTTGAAAAAATGAATCAAGAAGTGAAACTTTACATCTAAAAAATGCATCAAATAGGAACTTGGACATGGTCGCGAAGGCTATCGACTTGGCAGGAACCTCGAGGCACTCGAGGTTCTGCTTATCACGGACTGGGATATAAAAAAGGGAAGCGCTGCATGTACCAAAATATCTATGCATGTCAAAAACTCAAGATCAAATCACTTTCGCGCACAAGAGAGTCAGCCACCTTTGCTTTGAACCCATGTGGCGAATGTTGAAATGTAGTTGTCAGTCCCTTCTCGTCTTTCACATCTACTTCTTCACACTTCCCGCTAGACTAACGGATCCATCTTTGTCCCCTAGTGACGCAAGTACTCCAGCAAGTACTTCTACCTAATCCTCCTACCTACTCTGTACAGAGTAGTACTCTATACAGAGTAGTACTCTATACAGGAGAGTAGGAGAGTACCTCCATACGTAGGTACCACTGCCTACTCCATACAGCGTACAAAGTACCCCTACAAGAGGCACTCCCAGCACCTCTTCTATAGAGACCAACAAGTACTCCCACAAGGAAGTACTTCTCCCACTCCCATTCAGCTGTGTAGCCACTACTTCTCTTTCTCCTACTTGCTTTACAAGTACTCCACCCTCCTACTCAGTACACACCAAGAGTACCCACTAGTAAGCACTACAAAAAGCACTTCTACTACACTGCTGTAGAAGTACTGTTCTAGTACAACAAGTACTGTTCTTAGTAGTACAAGCACTCTTTTACAAGTACTGTTCTTAGTAGTAGTACAAGTACTGTTGTAGTACAAGAACAAGTACTGTTTTACAAGTACTCCAATTTTTCAGCCCACTTTGGCAACCTCAGCTTCGATCGGTCGATAAGAGGCGGCTGTGAGTCACTCTTTCCCAAGAGCGACATGAACTGCGCTCCACCTTCGTTCCGGTTTGCTCTGGTTTAGAGAAGACGAGGTGGCATTTGCCTATTTTTCAAGAGGTCGAGAGGCGTGAGGAAGGGGAGAGACGATAAGGAAAACTGTGTCATCTTCTCTGCACTGCAAGAGCACGCTCCTATGAATGGACGAGTTCTTGACTGTCTACAATTTCTAAACAAGTGTATGTTGCCATAAGATTTCGCGATCTTGTTGCACTGGGGATCTACGGGATCGAAGTACATCTTAGGTGGGCAGGAGCCTTGCTGGCGCACGTAGGTGGTTCGGTAGTGGCGCAGGAACGACATTCCCATGATGAAGACTGGGCCAAGTTTCGTTAGGGGTTGCAACTTGACCTTCTTGACCCCCATCTAGCAGGTCGCATATCTTCTATGACCTACTTGTTCCTACTTGAACAAGAGGTCACAGGTATGCTCATTGAGGGATCAACTTCCAACCCTTAATCTCGCGTCTTCCTTGTCCAAGGGCATGAAAGCCGGCACACAGATAGTTGCATTTTTCCCGCTCGTTGCTTTTCGCGCTTGCGACAGACCGCCCTTGGCCGCTGCTTCAATTAGAACGTCCTTGGATTTGTTCCTTGGAGTAGAGACGTTAAGTAGAGGACGAGTAAGGAGTAGAGACGGTCGGATCGCACTTTTTCTTACTACATAGAAAAGTAGAGACTCAGGACGTGGAGCACAAGAGAGAATGAAAACTGCTTCAGATCAATACCGCTGAGGAGGCGATACAATGAATAGGACAATGACAAAATAACCCAGTCATAACTTAAACCACTCAAGGACGCCCATCTGCTGCTGAGTCTGCTCTACGCGCATGACGTAAGCAGAGGGCGGCAGAAGAAAGGACTCGGTGAATGTGCCATTACCTATTGATATTTCAGTTGTTGATATTATGATTGAAAATCAAAAGAATCGAAATGAAGATGGTTAGACGAATCACAAGCTGACTTGTTAGAGTCTTTGGGGTTGGGCTTTCTGTACTCAATACGCTAAAAAATGGTTTTTCACGCTAAAAAAGTGGTTTTTTCACGCTAAAAAAATGGTTTTTTGTACTCCAAAGGCATTACCGAACATGAACTCCAAAGGCGGCAGTTCATCCAAGTTCGAACAGTCTTCCTTGATGTTCACCTTTGCTAGTAGTCCTTCAATCACTGGCGTCGGTGCTGCGAGCAGCGAGGTTCCCGAGTCCACAATGGCGCCACATCCTCGCTCGTCACCACCACAGAGGTTGGTAAAATTGCCACCCACGTTCACTCCAAATTTCGGCATGTGCACTGCCCAGTGGACGCGACCCACGACCTCTACTTGCGTCTCGCCACTGTCCGTATTGGCAACAGATGAAGAGAGGGGAGTGAAAAAGGTGGTAGAGCGGAAGAGGACGCAGTATCAACAAAGTCACAGGAAAAAAAAAGTCACAAGAGCAGGGGCCTGCTCTTGTATTACAACATAATTTTAAACAAGAATAGTAACCACGATAATCAAGAACCACGTGAAGAATTTCTATTTCATACACTCGCCGCCCAACAACATGACAATTTCAATACAAAGCCACATTCTAATTGTGAATACAAAACCGCACATAAATTGAAGGTGAGCCATCCTGAGGGCCATTGCATTTTGTCCGCCTCCGGTCCCTCGATGATTTGCTGCTGCTCGGCCGACCCCCGCTCAAGACAAATCGAAAACTTATTCACATCCCCACGCTCTAACAATGTTTCCGTCTTGTTTTCGGCTGAGAGGGAGAAGAAGAATTGAGAAGAGCCTCAGAATCTGTTGCTCGGATGAGGAGGAAGAAGTTCTTCTAGTTCGTTCTTTTTTATATTCATACATTCATAACTGTAGAAGTTGTGCTAGTACTTTCTGCCGAATCACCGCTCGCCGTGCTCGCTTCTTCGGCCATTGGCGGGACATAATCGCGAGGACCGAGGCCAACGAACATTAGAATTTCACGATGTCAATGTAAGTCCTGAGGAAGCATTCTGGTCAACACTGGTGAGCACTGCACTGTACTGTAGTCTTCCCTTCAAAAAGGCTACATCAAAGATTTTGGTAGTAAGTCCTGGTAGTAGGTGCCTTTCCTTGTACTTGAAAAGGAGCTGCTTGGAAGAAGAAGATGTTGCTTGAAGGGATAAGTCTACAAGTTAGAGGGAAAACTAACCGGTGCAAGATGAGTAGTTGGCTTAGTGGTTTAGGCGTTGGCCTGTTCACTTATCAAGTACAACGTGCAACACAACTCTATAGTACTTAAGCAATAGATACAACTCTAAATAGTAAGTAAGCCTATAGCTATATCAATACAACTCTAAATAGTAAGTAAGCCTTAAAATGGCGCTGAACTTGGCTCCCGCAGCCCAAGCATCGATCTGATGCCACGTGATTTCCCAGAACGGGAAGTAACCGAGTTCCGGAGCATCACTATCGGACCCGATTTTGCCTTAGCGTGTGCTAGAATGCTCATCTTGACCCCTCTCTTACCTGCTCATCTTACCCTGGGTGTGACCCCTTTCTTACCCTTGTAGTAATTCAACATATACCCGTGACACCCCTTTCTTACCCTTGTAGTAATGGTTAAGGTTAAAGCTGAGGGTCCACCGCTTCGCGGCCAAGCCGCACCTGCTAGGACAACGTGGGTTCGAGTAGAACCGTGTCAACCGATGTTTCAGGCATTGTAGTAATTCATAGGAATAATAATACAAGGGAAAAGGGGACCACTAAATGTTGAGAATGATGGACACGACTACATGTAGTTGACCATAATTGACATTCTCCCAGGCTTTCACACTTTCCACCGGCCCACTACCGAAAGTATGTTGAGCAAATATTTGCTGTTTGTTTCATTGATTGTGTGGAAGTAGGATAGATCCATTGATGACTGTGTCGTGTGGAAGGTTGTAGTTTGTGTCGGGGTTGTTTCGAACGTTGTGTCTAGCGTGTGTATGAATTCGAACTACACCGTGTGTCTAGTGTGTCTGAACTACACCTTCATAATGAACCTCTTGTGCCTCATGATTATGTATCCTTTTTATAGCTGAGCTGGGATACCCTATATTCGCAGACTTCATCGTCCTTGCGTTCTTTTTCGCATGAGGCCATCGCTGTCTTGGCCTGTGTATTCTGCTTCTCCGAATCGAAAAGATAGAATGAAAGTGTGTGATGTGTGATCATGATAGATCAGATTTTAGACCGTAGTAGTAGGAGTAGTAGTAGTGTGCCCATTCATGGGGTATGGAAGATTGATTAGTTGAATTTTCCTTTCTTGTTTTCGGTATCTCTTCGTACTTCATATAACTCCACTTTCACTCCACCTCTGTCAGCCTTTGATGAAATAGTTCTTATGCAGCTTGATGAGAAGTATCATAGAAATGAGATCATAATGAGAAGGTGTCGGATATATTCGAGTCGTATAGCGGCATATCGACCGCGTCGTAGCCTCCGCTTTTGCACTGTTCGCACTTCGTAGATAAGACCAAAATCTCGAAACTACCCGTATCATATATTGCCGGGAAATATGACCACGATCCGTTTTGGCTTTTACCTAGAGATTGATTGGCGATAAAGATCATACATGGCGATAAAGATCATACATGGTCCATGGGAGGTGGTTGAGATTGATTGAGTGACGTATAAGCTCTTACTCGTAGTGTGTTTGTAGTGGAGAAAGCGAGTATGAGGCAGTCGTGCCTCTTGTTTCTCGACATATTCATTGTACACAAGAACAGTGGCTGAAAATATAATTAGTCCTTGCTACGGTGTACTGGAGTTTTTTACAAAACAGGAACTTCCAGAAGATTTAGTACCAATTCCAATTTTGCCGTAGTACTGCACGTTCTGAAAGTTCTTCAACTCCACCCTGTACTCCTTTTGTGACGCCGATAGAGGGTTAACCTGGTTCAAACAGCAACTCGTATGCTCCGACGTTCCTGGCGTGCCACTGCATGTCGTCGATGCGGGATCTGGATTGTGAAAAAGTGAATGATGGGGAACCAACACGATATCGAGCCAAACAAACAAGTGCAGGGGCAATGCGAGGCAGAGACAACCTGGGGCGCACGTTGACCACCAATGTAGCGTCCCCATGCCCTCCAGAGAGGCCCCGACCGATCCACAAACCCCGCAAAAAGAAAGATTAAAAGCCGCCGAATGCGTTCGCCTATCTTTGCGGGCACAGCGCCGGGCCCTTGGCGTGGGGAAAAGGCAAGGCCCTGGAGCAGAGGGGCGACCTAGTCCTCGAAGCGGAGGGGCGAGGCCCTGGCGGAGCAGGAGGCAAACCGCCCGCGAAACGACAGAACGAGCCGAAAAGGCCCGAAGCCCACGCACAGCCCCGCGAGCTGCCAAGCAAGCAGGGGGCCGCCACTTCATAAAAGAGAAGAAAAAACGAAGAAAGACCCCAAGGGGCGAAGCCAGCCATGGCGCGAAAGAGCTAAGCGCGGGGGCCCGGGCATGCCTGGGGCATGCGTGCCCAGGCATGCCCGCGGGCGACGCGGCGCAAGAACTGCGCGGCCCCCCGCAGGCTCCGCAGAGGCCAAGCCCCAGAGTGGCCCCAAGAGCGCGGCGCCCCTGGTTTTCGAAGCAGGGCACGCCGGGCCTGCTGTCCTGACTGTGTTGCGCTTCGGAGCGACTCACGCGCAAGACCGCGACAACCGAAGAAACGCTCGAAAACCCCTGGCAGGCTCCCGAGCTGAGCAGCACCGACCACGCCCAGGCGCCACGGTCGCGCTGGCTGCTGCTGCAGCTATGGGCTTGAGGCGTTTCCCCCCCCTTTCAGTCGCAAGCTGGCGAAACTTCTCGGCCGCGTCTTGTCGTCAGCCCGTTCCCATGCTCGCGGCGACTCTGCCGCTGTCCTGTTCTTTTGCTTTCCGGCGCGAGGAGCTCGCCGCACGCTTCGCCCCGCTGCTGCGATTGCCGTCCGTCCTGTTCTGTTCCTTTCCGGTCGGAGGAGCTCGCCGCACCCTTCACCCCGCTACTGCCTTCGCCGCTGAACATTTTCATCGCCGTCGGCGTTCCAGGATAAGGCGCAGCGAATCCCGCGGACGATGTGGCCGGCTATTTGATCTGCGTAGAGAGGTTCCGGGCGTCTAAGAGTCGGCAAGTCTACACAGAAACCCCCCGCGGAAAATTTTCCGGCGGCAAGCATTGCCGTTGCGGCTGTCCTCTTCCTCTATGGCTTTACGGTGACACTCATCTAGTCTAAATCGGCCATCTGGAGACTCCAGCCGCATCTCCTAATCAAGTTTGCATGTGCAAGCTCTTATCATATCTGGCCGACGAAATGGTCTATGCGTATGATTGGGGTTAGGCTGCTTGCACCTTTTCGCCGTTTGTGGCGTCGCTGTATCCCGTGCGCAAGGCGGCCGCACCATTCGCAAAGCCTGGCGGCGGGGTAAAACCCCTCGAAGCCCCAAGCTTTGCGCGGGCATGGGCTTCCCCCATTTCCTCCTCAATCACGCCGACCAAGTAGCTCTGGACAGGGTTGCGCTGGTACGCGGCGAGGCCCGCCCCCCGTGTTCCCTCCTTTGGCGCGCTCCCTCTGCAGCTTGGGCAAGCTTTGACACGTGCCGGGTATTTGCTGGGCGTTTTGCGAAAGCATCGCCGCACTTCTCTGCGAGTTCAGTCCTGCCCTTGGGCTGCGTGGCTTGACTGTAGAAAGTTGCCCAGCGTTCTAGCCTCACAAAACTGCGCGAGGGTAGCGACTGCAAACCCTAAGCCCTAACCCTACCAAGACGCCGCCGGTCGCGACTGGGCGCCTCCGTGTACCAGTCCACTGCCGCGCAGCGGCTGCGGCGGTTCTCTGCGGCCTGCATTCATTGCGCAAAGCCTACGCAATCAAAAAACAAAGCACCTAGTGGCCGCGTGCGATTGTTGGCGCCTTCGCTTCTTAACTCATAGCAGCCACTGCAACGGCTGCGGCGCGCCTCTGGTCCATCACTGGCCTGCGCAACCACTTCAGCACACAGGGGAACAAGCGAAGCGCGCGGAACTACCCCAGCGGCGCCAATGGGTACGAGTGCGCCACCCTTCTGGCCGAATTTCTCCCGCCTCTATGCTTCGAGCTGTGGCAACAAGGCACCCGGAGGCAGCTTCGTCAGCCCTGTCGAATGTCGTTCAGATTCGAGCGCGCAGGCCCTGCGCGGGTTTTCAGCCCTGAAACACGAAGCGGCCAGGTGCGGCGCTGGTCTGTTGAAGATTCAGGCCCCGGGAGTCTCCGCACGCCTTTGGTGGCCCTGCAGCACCGCGAAGGCAGGCGCGGTCGCGCGGCCTCTCCAAAGCCGCCACGCCACAGCCGCGTCCAAAGGCTACCACGCCAAGCCGGCCTGGTGCCGCGAACGCTTGGACAGGGTTCAGCTGTGTGGCGGGAGTGCCAACGGATTGCAGCCCCGTTCCATATCGCTTGCGCTGCCATCCACATCGGGGACGCCGGCGCGCGCCTTTCCTGACCGTGCTCGCCCAGAAAGCGGAGCCCCCTCCCGAAGGTCTACGGGCGCTACGCGGCTTCGGTGCGGAAGCCCCGCACGGATGCAGCCGGGGATGCCTGCAGGCCGGGGCACGCATCCACAACACATAGCACAGCCCCCTCTACAAAGGGAACAAATCAGTACCACTCTTCATGGCCACAAGGCCGATACTTCCATCGGCACTTTCGTCCAGGTCTTCGTCCTCCGCAGAGTCCTGGCTCTGCTCCACTAACGCAGGGTCGTCGCGCTCCTCATCTTCGTCGGCTAAATCCTCTTCGTCGTTGTCCGACTCGCTTTGATCACGCTCTGCTTCTGCCAACGAAACATCGTCACTCGCCACCACCTCTTCCTCGTCTTCTTCGTCCTTTTCTTAGATACAAAGAAAAGAACTCTGGTAAGGATATTGCTAACTCTGGTGGTCTTTCTAGCAGCTAGCCTCGTGTCCTAGAACCATGCAAACGAAACCCAATAACTCTGTCCTAGTAAACCTAAGCATATGCAACAATATACTGCATCCATAATGATCTTCGTTTTGCCTTGACCCTTTTCGCAGTAAACTGCCGCGTCGTTGTGAACCAAGAGCTCGCGTTGACAGTGATCCTCTACTCCGTGATGAGATGGACTGTCGCGTCATCACTGCTGATCCAGGCATGACTGCTACTAGTGCAGCCAGGGCTTTTGAGCCCCGCGATGCTCTGCTTCTCCGCAGCGACACCATCTTCGCGTCGAAAAATACGAAATTACAAGGATCAGAACTAGGACTCTAGTGGTGTTGATCAAAGTAGATAACTCGAATACGAATTCACTATGCACTTGTACTACAGCACATCAAAATCTAACGTAGGTAACAGACAGCATTCTGCATTCATCTCGCCTCGTTATCACCATATGATGAACCTTCAGAAGGTCAGAAGAAACAAAAAATAAAATGATTGTAGCACGACATCAAAATCCGACAAGCAGAGAGGCTAAAAAGAGCTCCCCAACGCAGTCGGGCCAAGAAAAACTTACGTCCTTTTTGGCAGATTGATAACATCAAAAACGAAACTCAAAAACAAAAACTCAGTCAACACGAATTTGTATCATGATAAGCAACGTCTACAAGTCTTTGTTGGGTTCGATCTATATCGACCAAACCAACAAGACTACGCTTCAACATCAACCTCATCGCAAAAGTTCTTGTTACACCATTTGCAATCACAAAGACACGCAGAAAAAGGAACTCCGCTCAAGACAGCACATGTTGACTGATACCGCGAAGTGGTCATGCACACTCATCACCAGTAAACGAGGCGCCACGAGTCCGTCTGCCTAGGCAATTCTCTGTGCCAATCTACGAAGGACAACACACACATTACAATGTCCGCAGCCCTCATCAAAACGAAAGCCAAAGTCTCTCCTGTGTTATCATGCGGAATATCAATGCAGTCTCACTGATGCGACCCCTGTGGAGTCTCGGCCATAGAGGCACCACTAAAAATGGTTACAAGTACCTTGTTGGAAGGGCTAAGTCTCTAGAGGTAAAAACTAACCGGTTGTTCTAATTAGTGCTTTGAGCGCCGCGTTGCCACACAGCTCAGCCGTGGTCTCATAGAACACACCATGCCTAAGTATCATCACCACACCTCTTTGATGCAGCTTTAGAGCAGCTTCAGAGGCTTTAGAGCCAAAAGCGGGAGGTTTAGGACTTCACTTTCTTCACTATATTTTCTGGCACCACCACCTTCCTCCATATCGCGCGAATGTTAGTAATATACATCTTCCATTGTCGTCTCTTAATACCTCGCGATCCGTATGTCTGTTGGTCGCCTCTTCATCAACGTAGGCACCTACTTAGATTGTGCCTAGACGAGCGTTTACCATGAACTAGATGAAAAATCGTTTGAAGCTTATTTGAATGTTTGCGTAATAGAAGCGTAATAAGGATAAGGAATTCTTCTGCTCATAATGTCGAGCATTTCCAGTTGCTCTCATTGTTTTTTTGATAAGACTAAGCAAGCGTGAGATGTTTCAATGAATTTGGAGTATGGGTGACTTCCACTCTGTCGAAGATCTCAACTTATCTATCGACGACAGCTTATAAACTAAATAGTAGACCATCAACATCCAAAGGAGCAACAGCCAACATCCAAAGGAGCAACAACCAAAACAGTAAGAGCCAACAACCAAAGGAACAACCAAACCAGTCTACGGTGGTAGCGCACCAAGTATGTATTTCTGGTCATCGTAGTCCCTGAGGTCTTTTCCTCCTGGAACCGCGGTGAAAAATGGCGGTTTGTCCTTGATTTTCGGCAATTCCATGTAGTCCTGGCGGAACTCCACTGGCCGCTCCAGATATCGGGTTTCTGCATTCACCGAAGGCTTCAGCTTGTCCTCGTTCGCCTTGCGGAACACGAACTCATCTGGGCCTATACGCGTCAGCTGCGACAGCCTCGCTTCAGACCGCTTCGTGCGCTCCACGATATTGTAATGCGAAGAGGCCTGCACTGAACGGTTCCTGGGAAGGGAGCAGACAATAAGATGATGAGGTCATACGATTCGGAGGTACTAATTCGTACTCGAGTAGTTACTTGAAGATGCATCCTGTTGAACAATCTTCATGGGAGTCAATCCTTTCACCTCCTGACATTTACACTACTCTGATGATAGCTATCACAATCTTATAAGTAGTCAAAACCGGAAACAAGAATGCAAGATCGAGAACCAGAATCTTCATCAACTGCGATTACAAAAAGAAACAATAAGTACTGGTCGTAGGCCTTGACATTTTTGAGTTCGATCTGGTCTTTCGTGAGGAAGGGACCCTGAATAGCCTGCATCCGGCCTGTATTCGCTGCTCTACTTACCAGAGGGACCCTCTTAGCCACCGGCTGCGGCGGACCGGCACGGATCTTGGCTGTCAATTGGAGCGGGTCCGGGAAGTTTTTATCTCAACCTCAACATTTAATAATAATTTTCAATACCAGCAATTAACAACAGAAGTCGAATAATTTTCAATACCAGCATCCGTGGTCCCCTTCTCTGTGTGATCTAGAGGTCGCGTCGTCCTTGTCACACTTCTATTGAGATTAGGCCTTCTTATTGAAGCTGGAACTCGCGCAGTGCTTTGTAACCGCAAGTGTTGCTGAAGTAGGTTGAACAAGTTGTTAATGGATCAGTCATAAAAACCTTGTTAAATAATGGGGAACCGTACTATCAGTCATAAAAACCTCTATGGAAAAATGCTCTGCACGACTTCATCTATTACATTATCTAGGTAAGTACCTCTATCGGTATCTGGAACGCAGTTGGGAGGGCGTCGCTATATGGGGGATTGTAGACTCCGGGTATCTTTTGAGTTGAGACCAAGTGGTGCAACTGTGAAGCGAGCTTGTTGAAGCTCGATTTTCTTTCCTCCTCAATCTTCCTCTGATGCTTCGCCTGCTCATCATGCTCGTAGTTCTTTAACCACCTGGCGAATCGAATAAAAGAGTAGTGTCTTCTTTGCGAAGCTTTCGGTTCTCCTAGCATGCCTCTTCTAGAATAGTGTCACACCTCTTTCAGGGTACAAGATGAAGCTACATTAGAAACGACAAGATGAAGATACATTAGAAAAGTACGCATTCGTCTTATCCCCCTTGTTCCGGACCGAGTCCAGATACTCCTTCCTCGAATGCATACAGTGCGTATATTGCCGGCTCCAATAGCCTCGAAAAACTTTTTGTATCTGAAAAGGAGTGAAGACAGTACTCGAAAAACTATTTGTATCTGAATCGAGGTGGAGATGAGAAGGCTTTGTAGTAATTTTGTAGGGTGCTAAGCTAGTAAGCACTGACTAATACTGCATCGTGGGAACCAACTACATTGATTCAACTAGTAAAAAAGATACTTAATAACAAAAGCAGTAGTACCGTAGCTGCGCAGTGGTTAAAATATGACATGTTCACTTCTTGCGCTCGCTTTATCGTCGCCGCTTTCGCTTTTACTGTTATGTATGTCAAGGATGTAGGAAAAAAAGATTCCATCAACAGCAAGTTCTCTTCAACAGAAAACGAATAAGAAATTGATTTCATAGCTATAATTCCAGTCATATGAAAATACCAACGCTTTATTTTGTCGAAAATTATAACATAATTCCAGTCATATGAAAATACCAACGCTTTATTTTGTCGAAAATTATAACATCTTCCTATGATCATAAATAATATGGAACTCAAAAAAAAATAGTACGTCTTCCCAGCATCCCGCGTATGACCCTCTGTATGAATAAGCCTGCATGATGGACGGCGTGCCATCTTTCCCTGACCATTGACGCGCGATAAAAGCATTGAAGCTTGATCGCCGCTTTCCTCTCACGCGGCTCCGCATTATTGGCTTCCTGTAGCGTCCAAAAATAATCCTCCAACAAGTTCCGTCTCCTCAAATCAAAAAACTCCATCTTGTTCTGCTTCTTGAGTGCTAGCAGAAGAACTGCATAAGTTCCATCCACGAATCGCTTTCGGAAGTTCTATACTACTAGCAGTCGAAGTATTATAAGATGAGCCTAGGACTTTCTAAGATCAGTATTTCGGTGGAGTAAGAGTGTAGAAGTCGAAGTATTTTAGTTTGTAGAAGGCAAAGAAAAAGGAATCATTTCCGTGGCTCTACCACCCTTCTTCTACCACCCTTCTTCGACTACACGCTTTGTGATAATTCTCTTCTTCACTTGCTCTTCTTCACGATGTGGCCTCCTCAATGTGCTGTCCTCTACGAGCAGTGAACGGCGTATGGTCACCACGAACCTCTGGCTGCTGTTACTCAAAACTACTGCGGTCGCTGATGGCTGCGAAGTCGCTGCTGCGTATGTGAAGAGGTCGCTGAAGGGGGTGTCTTCTTGCTCGTTGCAGTGCGTAGTAGCGGTGCGACTCCGATGGTGATGCCTTACTATGTATTGTCTCTCGCTATGCTCGAGTCGAAGTGCTGTGATGTCCGGATAAAACGTCGCGTTAACCTGGTCGCGTTGATCACATATAGCGTTTTACAGCTGTGTCTACGGCCGATGGAGTAACAGGGTACCGAACCTGCTTTCTTCGTACTGCCTTCCACCCGTGCCGTGCGAAGGGGTGAGGTGACCGTAACCTACCCACACAGCGTCAGAAGAAGTGACGAAGCTCAGAGGGCTCAGCCAGGGGAGCCGCGCCGCTCCCCTTCCGGCGCATTCATTCTTTTATGTTAGAAACCTACGATCCTTTGCTGACTAGGGTTTGGTCACAGAAAGGTTCTTGCTCCTTTTTTACCATACTAGATAAACGTTCGACAGCAACTACATCGGACAGCATTATAACCATTCAGTTGTGCTCTCCTTTTTTTGGGCGACACGTTAAGGCTTGGAAGATAAGTACTATCGTGAGTATGCGCAGCTTAAAGCTACTCCCGAGGAGGCTCTCCCATCCATGACGCGATCTTGATGATGATGATATACCCAGTCCATTGAACGGGTATGAAGAACGAGAGGGCATTCAACCGATACAAAATAGGAAGATAACCCTCGAAACCAAGCCAATTATGCACAAAAGAACTGGATATGCCTCAAAGCGGTGACAGACCGATCATTGTCAGATGCTCAGCGTGTGAACCGACGCTTCAATGCACAGCAACTTCGCGCACTCTCTCTTACCGATTTTTGTACTGTGAAGACCATGTGAACATCATTTAGTACATGAGTCCTCTTCTCTTTGAGTGTAGCTCTTAATCGAAGCAGCAAAGCTGGGGAATCCCCCGCCCAGGGGCCTCATGTCCTCGACTTAGTTGTATCAGTGTTAATGACGTTTTCATCGTACAAACGGGTCCGCCCAAATTCTGGTAGCCTTACCTGTAGAAGACCCAAAGACAGACTCTATCTCTATACATTTTGTTTTATAGTCAATCAGGATAGCTCCTCGATAGGTGTTTGATTGTTTGCGTGACAATGTGCGAAATTTGCATCATCATCTTTTTTCTACACAATCAACACACCCAATCTAGAGTACAGTTCAGTACAACACCGTATGAATATCGTACACAGGAGGACTCCGCCTTGCAAAAGACGTTTCCATATTCTACCAAAAAAGTAAACACAATTCGATAGCTTCCGCAACCTTTGCCTCACTTCCCCGAGAAAATAAACCCAAATAAAATCATCTCGCCTGCAAGCGTAACAAGTGCTTCTCCGTTTCCTGGATTTTTTCCGAAATTCTTGCATGCGCATGTTGCAGACTCGATCTCAAATTTTGTCGCATGTTCTGCTTCGCGTTCGAACCCTGCTTTGATGGTTATAAGTGCTTTCATTGGTGCTTACAACTACAAAAAACTCATGACAAAGCTTAATTCAAAGTTAGCGCAAGTGAAAGACTGCGTATTCGCCTTAAAATTATAAGATTCATGTCATCAGAAAGCTACAGTCGATGCTTACCATCTGTAGTAAAAAACTCACTTTTTCAAACCGAATAAACTCTCCCAACTTACCTGTGCCTCCATCTCTAGCAATAGCTGTTTCTGCATCACCTGGGCTAAAACGTGTCTCATTTTCCTCAACATCCCTTCACATCTCGCAATCTGAGCGCATGGACGTACCGGATCCCCACGGATCAGGACGACTTGGGATTAGAAGGTTGCACTACGAGGTAGTAGTAGTAGTTTACCCACTCTGGGGGTAGTTACAACATGTTTAAGGGGAGGGACAACATGTTTTAGTTGCAGGGGGGGGGGGTTGGATGTTCCTTCTTCGTGCTCTGTCTTATTCCTTGGCTAGACCATTCAACTAGACCATTCAACTAGACCATTCAACTAGACCATTCAACTAGACCATTCAACCAGAAGATTCAACTAGACCATTCAACCAGACCATTCAACCAGAAGATTCAACCAGACCATTCAACCAGACCATTCAACTAGATCATTCAACTAGACCATTCAACTAGATCATTCAACCAGACCATTCAACTAAAAGATGCAACGCAACATAATCTTCGTGATTCCCGGTGCCACCTTGTAGAATGTTCGACAGGTCCTCGTTACACCTGACTATGTAGTTTTTCTGCAGCCTCCGCAGGTCCAACGCGCTGTCCAGTCTATGGTTTAACATTGTCCCTGAGTCTGGTTCTGCCACTTCAGGAAGAGTCTGCGTTTAGTTCACACGCTACCTGGCAGGCTCTCAAAACAAAAAACCACAAGCGATTATTAATGCGGGTAAGGTAGTAGAAGGAAGGAAAGACTGATATTAGGCAAGGGTCAAGTGTACTATTTAAAATAGTACAAGTTTTATTCTGTAAGATAGTGAAGATATCCGAACAAAATGCTTGGTTCTTTCGATCAGGTTAAAAGAGACGAGGGGAACTCGTAGTTACTCTTACAGCTAGACTACTTAATTACTGTAGTAACTAACTGCTAGAACTTGCTTGTAACAAGCAGAGAAAAGAATCATGGGGTAAGACGGGTGGGGTAAGCCGGGTGAGACCGAAAACAGCCTGTGTCATTAGAGACTCGTTCCTCCTGTATCTCTTGCCAGACAGTTGCTGTAGAACTTCTTGCAGAGCGAAGCTTCATGACTTAAATCTTTTCGGCAACGTGCCTAAGGCTGCCTACCTTGCAGAGCGAAACTTAATCATTCTAGACGAGCACCGAGTTCTCTGTTCACCCGCGGGTCTGTCGTCTAAAAAAAACTGACAGATTCCAAGATGTTTTTGCTTACTTATGCGGATCCAACAAAACAGGCAGAGGGGACTATCCTGGCGAACATAATGCACACATTACATCAACGGCACTGTTGCAAAGACGCCATACCAGCGTCGAAGCCCCATAGGCTGCATATTTTTGCCTCTAGTCTCTATTCATTGTCTTGCAAAACCCAAATTCAGATATGACGTATCATCTTTCAGCTCCCACTAGTGGTGTGAGCGTGCCCAAAATACCATCAGAGGTTTTGACATCTTGCGAGCAGTTCGCGTGAGTAAAAGAGATGGCCCGCTATCTCTGTTACCGCCAAGGCGAGCACAATTGTCACAAGAAGCGGCTTCAGCAGGAAGTGGACTTCGCAGGTCTTCGTTTCGTCGTTCAAAACTGCGAAGATGGGTTAGCGATGGTTCCACTCTAATTGTAGCGATTCACTCAATTCTTGTACGAGTGAAAAATCTCATAAGCAAGTACAAAAGAATACGATAGATTTGGATTATCCGATCATTACTTCTACTCAATGGCAGAGAATTCTGTTCATAAAAATACGCACCACAATCTGGGTCTACGCATTCGTTTAAAGCGGGATCCAAGCGCTCCTGACCGCGGTTACAGACAGGAGCTGCACGACACATTCCATTTTCTGACTCCGCTAATCTCCGCTGCTCTTCTAGGTGTCTCGAATTCATGCTCATTGTACTTGATATTGTACTTCTACTTGCAGTTCCGGCTAATAGTGTCTCATCTTCAGTTGCGCCAGTCGCTACCACGTCGGGCGCAAGAATACTTTGGTCTTCGGAAGAGTCCGCAAAAACAGCTAGTGATGAAGATGATAGTCGTCTTCTGTGGCTCACGTAGGGTACAAAAGTCTCGATGCCAGGTGGGCGACCACTCAGAAACGCGAAAAAGTTCCTAAATCGCGTCCACTCAGTTCTACCTTGCGACGATGATGTTCTTCGCCTAGAACTTGTTCTGTGACGTAGTTCTTCTTTCCTCCTCTTGTTCAAACTTCTCTGGGCGCTAGAGGTAGCATCTTCAGCATCAAGCTTCCGTGGTCCAGACGAGGAGAAGTCGAAGAGCTTACTCACCAGTTCCTGTACGCTAGGGTTTTCCCCAACTCCTGCTGATGAAGTTGTTATGTCTTCCCCTGCTGCGGCATTCAGTAGTTGAGCTGCATCACCAAAATCGTTATTAGTCGGCGTCGAAGAACGATCTTTTGCTCCTCCTTCATTCTTCGAAGATGCAGCTTCTCCTTGTCCTCGATGCTGAAGATTCTCTGCTCCACCGAATAGGATGCTTGACAAAACGTCATTGATCATAGTCGTAGCGAAACGGGTTGCCGCGTCAGACGATCCCTTACTAGCAGCTTTATTTGCGGAGCGATAAGGCCTCAGCGTTGGTAATCTACTCAACTTCATCTGCTGAAGACTCTGCTGTCCCCGTTGCTTCATCAGACCTGCCAGAAAACTACTACTTCTAGATGTAGTTTTCACTTGGTTCCTGTCTATGGCAATCCCAATCCGCCTGTTCGCTCCGTCGAAGACTATGCCTTCAAATGCCGATAACGCCAAAGAACCCACTCCGATATGTGAGGCGGCCATTGTGTATGAAGAGAGAACGAGAACGAAGTCGTTCTTGTTTCTTGAATGAATGAATGAATGAATGAATGAATGTGCCTACTATGTGTCATAAATCCGGTGTGAAAGCGTGAGGGTTCCAAATCCCTTAAGGGGAGGTCTATTATTAGCCAAAGGCTATTACAGCTCTTCCGTAAGGAGCTTCCTTAAGGAAAGCTTTTCCTCTTAAAGAAAGTTATAGTAATTTTTTGTAATAGAAATTCTTTGAGGAGAACAGTTTCCTTAAGAGCCTACTATGTGTCATAAATCCGGTGTGAAAGCGTGAGAGGTATCCTGTTCTAACCCGTCCCCATCGGCGTAGTCAGAAACAGACTGCTCGTTTTGGAGTGGTGCCACTGCGAGTACCCACTTCCCACCGGACCCTGTCGATTTACGATTTAATGTGAAGCAAGAGATGTGCATGTTGTTACACAGAACAACGTGAATGGTTGTTGTGCCTCATCGAAAACCTCCACGCTTCAAAAAATTGTAACTGACATATAAGTAAAAATTGAGGTAATAGTTACAACAATTTCTTTGACCAAGCAGAAAGAAGTTTTTTTTTGAGCTAGTGAGAGCTTACCTTGATGTGGCATCGGTCCTTCACGGTAGAATAGGTGAGAAAGCGGCAGTTCCAGACGACGATCGGGTGTGCGCATGTTCAGATCGTTCAACGCGAAGGACAACGTCGGTAAGAAGGCAGGCTTTGTCAGGTCAGCGGCAGAGAGTGTGTCGTCACGCAGATGACAAGGAAAAGCATGCTCACTTTTCATCACTCGACCTTGGCCCTGTCTCAGCACCAACGTCGGAACTGTGCTGTGGCCTTTCTGCATATCGACACAGTGTAGACCAGCCTGTAAATCAAGCTGCGCCACGAATCGATCGAACAGAAACCGTGGCAACGTTAAGCCAACACTGCGGGTATCGAACGCAATGAAAGCTCCAAATTACTCAATCCTCTCACAATTGTTCATACAGCCACTCGACATTGACATAGCCAAATAGCGAAATCGAATAAATTCGCCAACGAAGGCACAAGATTTCCACTCGTGGCGACATTGCGCTATTCATCATGTCCCAAAAGAATGCCTTAACTACAGCCAGCCAATTGGAGGATATCCCAGTGAGCAAATCCACTCCACACAGCTGAGGGTTGTATAACAGAAATTCATGTCGCGCAGCATTCACATATTTGTCTCGCAAGGCCGCTTGAGCGTAGTACACGTCCACTTCTGCAGCTTGGAGAATTAGAGGACGAGTAAAGGTGTATAAGACTCTCATCTACTTTAGAGCGACGATGCTCCTCAAGCTATTCTCTACTACATGTCACATAACATAATGCGTCTTTGTCCTTCCTCATGATCTGCACGACGTGGCTAACAAGGTGTGGAACCTCGCCCCCAACTCGCAAAGAGGATCTCTTATTCGGTTTATAATGTGGTGACGCCGGTGGTGGCGCTAAGGACAGAGTCCAATACACCGCATTGGCCCTCGCTCCTCCTCCACTTGTAGTAGCTGAAGATGGGCGTCTCTTCGATGTGGATGTTCGTTGTAAAATTAGAGTCTGCTAGATTGCATCTCGGCCCCCCTTTTCTTGGGGTCCCTTTACTACCCTTGTATCATTTCACAAGAATAATACTCAAGGGAAATATGGGGGCCAAGATGCCGAGAAGGATGGAAAATGAAAAAAGTTGACCATAATAAAAGTGCTTGTTGTATCTCCTGTAGTCTCAGCACATTGTCCCAAAAGGAGACTTCTTTTCTACAGCCGACCGTAGTCCCAGCAAGGCCTAGAAAGCCTCCTGACGCTGCAGCGGCGGTGAAGCTCTTGACGAAACGAACAGGCTGCTGTGGTAGATTTATCCCTGCTACAGTTCCGTCTTCATGCAGCGTGAAACTCGGAAAAAAACCGTCCTCTTGGACTCCTGACATGAGCTCAGCTGGAGAGATCGCTCTTGGACGCAGACCCGCTTCAGATGATGGTTGTCGTTGCGACGAAATTGTATTTCTTAGATCTTCTTCCCGGCACCCATCTCGAGACTCATCTTGGGTCCTCTGTTTTTCCCTTAGAGGCAGGGGTGCCCCAAGTAGATGCTCCTGAGGATGGATTCCCGAAGGCTTAATGTTCCTATAGGGATCGCCGAGCCATCTTCTTCTGTAGTTACACCGTCCTCTACGCCTCGTAGCAAGTCAGCAATTGTTGTTGCACTGCCAGTGCCGTTCCGCGATGGACCCCCAAAGAGCGCTGACCAGAAATCTTGCTCGGGCCCAGAAGATATTTCGTTCAGCAGAGGGTTCTGCTCTTGTTCTGAGGAGGACGTAGAAGATGATGTAGACGATGTTGACATTCTTCTCCACGTAGTTAGTTCGTTGTCGTTTCTTGTCGGCAAGGCGATATCCTCCAAGCCCTCGAGGCCACTCTCTATCGCAACGCGCCCATCCAATAAAACCGTGTGCGCCTGACCGTAGTGAGCGTCTGAGATTAGATCTAGAACGTAAAAACATACAACGACGCTCTTCGGAATACTGCCTATTACGACTAGCTACGTGGGCTAGTGCGTCCAACTGAAAAGCATACACCAACCCTGCTGCTCCCATTACTACTTCCTAGCTACAAAAATTGTTGAGATACGTTCAATCTTCCTTAACGTCAAAGCGGTTTCTGGAGGCAAAAAGGGTGGTCCTTTGCAATCCATGAACTCACCCGAACCTGGCCCGCACTCCTCGGCATCTCTATCCACCGTACAGATATGACTCGTAGTGGAATCGCGCAAGCGATAGCAGGATGATTTCGTTTTTGCGTTTCTTATTAGAGTGCTTATACTTTCTTCCTGCATCTTACTTAGTATGCTATCAGAATGAGATGATGATATCCACTCTTCGTTCCTCGCTTGATAGACTTCTAGGCCACTCGCTCTTTTGAATTTCCAGCATACTTACTCACTACGCCCTCGTTACTCAACCTAGCCTTACAGCTACATCGTCCTTTGCGAGGACCTCCCGTGGGCTTGCATCTTCTCCTGCCTCCGCACCACTGTTTCTAGCACTTTCTTGATCTGCACAAGCACCAGTGTCACCGAGCAGTAGCGCAGTTGTGGGGGATAGCGTATCGAGCGCAAGGCTTACGCGCTGTTTTCCGAGGAGGAGCTCGATAACTGGTGTCAGATCAGCATACTGCACAGGTATTGAAAAACCAGTCTCGAACGAGGCTTCCGCAGATGACGATCCAGCTATCAAAACCGCAAAAAGGTAAACGGTGCTGAGCCACCAGAAGTGCCGACGATATGACAACATTGTTGAAACGCCCATATCGTATTTCAATTCCAGTCACAGGTTTTCAGTTTTACTTCCGCGCCTCGCGCATAGCACGAGAAGCATGAAAGTATTGTCTTCAACACGGATTATAACGCTACACTTTGAAAGCATCACCTTGCGTTCGAGTTCCATAACGACCGCTCTTTTATATTTTAAATTATAGCTATGATCCTCGTCACCTCATCGAAGAAGTTTCAGAGACTGACCGACTGATCATTTGCCGCATTCGGATGACATTGGTGAAGTTCCATCCCGGCAGGCCGCCGCAACTGCACTCTGTAGTGCAGAGTTCTGCTCTCCACACGTTACAAAATCATCTCAGATGTGGCTACACATCCACCTCAGATGGCTCAAACGAACTCCCTCAACCGTGAGTACCATGTAAGGACCAAGCGCAGAGGACACTTTTGCTGAGAATATGTGGGCGACCTTGTTTGAAGGTATTGCTTTTCGTTATACACATAGTAATTAAAAGTTGTTCCCGTTGATGTAAAAGTTGTTCCCCTTGATGATGCTTCTCCTTATTCACAATCAAAGCATGGGGGTCGCCGTAAACACTGTCGCAGGTAAACACTGTCCTATATGAACACCCTTATTGACCACCTTATGGTTGTGATGTAATGACAATGGGGGTGTGGCTATGATGTTGTTGAGGTAGTATAAGCCTGCCTCCCTTCGAGGTAACTCGAACTTCTACAGGAGGGAAAAGTGCTTGAAGTATCGCGGAACCGAAAATCTTGGTAGGAACAAACTGAGGCTGAAGATAGTGATCACAACAAAAGCCGAGACATCTGACGCTTGAGATCCTCGATATCTATGAGCGCCTTGTCTTCGTGGGGTATGTGTTTTTTCGATAAGACTAAGTATGCTTCCTCTGCGTCATGCTATGATTTTTAAACAATGACAATAAACTACTGTTCTGGGGGGCCTTATTCTCCCCATCTGCGATGGAATTGCCAAGAGCGATACTTGCATCGGCAGCCGAGAGCAATAAGTACACTCATGAAAATGAAAATGTTGTCGTTAAATGTCATGAGGAAAAGTATCCACAAAAAAAATCGCCACGGCGGTACTAGACCTCCTGGAAATCATCCTCCCAGCGGCAATATACCCAGCCCCTTTGTGGGTGGATGAGGCAACAAACTATAACAACTACAAGTAGCAACGCATGAGGTTGAAGACTGAAGGACCGGTATAATTCGTATCTCGCTTCATCCTTTGTGTGTGTGTGTGTGTATCTCCTTCATTCCTTGTTTCTTTGGGTGTGGTCGTGAAAAAAGTTCCTTTTTCTACGAACTCGGGAACAATCAACCTGAAAGCTGACTATTGCGACACTGCACAGCTAATTATATAGCCTTTAGCTCTTCCACGACACCAACTGCAGAAACCTGAAATCTTTAGTTCGAAATCGAAAAACTGAAAAAAATCTCTTCGCCCTTAGAACATCACAAGCAACGACAAAAATTTTTCCAATAGGAGAACCAGCGGCTTCCGTTCTTTAAGAGACTAGGTAGTTGAAATTGAGTATCAGAGACTATTGATTCCACGTCCGTGTCATGATACAAGCGTCCTTTTACGCCATGTAGCGAAGGGCGTCATTGCTACAGGATAAAAGGTTCAATAATGTTGAGAAGCGAAGTGTTTCTAAAAATTGAGAAACGAAGATGAAAATCTACTTTTAGAAACATTCTATAATTACGTCGTTAGATTCTATTCGGGGAGGTTATATCATTAGGTGGAGACGCGTCAGTCGAATACGAGGGAACATAAGGACACCAAGATGCCGAGAAAGATGGATAACAGCTGACCTCAATACTTCGCGTCATTGCCTCACTGGTTTCACTTTGTTCGTCGTCCTTAGTTGGAGCTCACCCTTATCCATCCTGAGGCGCATCCTGAATCCATTTTCCCCTTGAGAACGTCTCCAAGATGCTTCCGGAGATGGACTAGGAGAAGCCTTAACTTAGGACTCAGCGGGTACTCGCGAATGTCGCTCCGTTCTGACACTATACACTCCCTGCTGGACTCGGATAACGTCCTTGCCCGAATGCCGCTTCCTCCAATGCCGCTCCCATCGCTCAGAAAGGCAGAACCGGGGGTTGTATCGTTAGAAACAAATATTTATAAGTTATAAGTTCGCGCATATATTTTTTTGGGCTTATGCTCCTTTTCTACGCATGAGGTAAGGTGTTCCGGGCGATCTTCATTATAAGAAAAGAGATGAACCATCACAAGCGTTCATCTCGCTGTCTCTCCCTGACCCAGAAGGACCTTTTCTGGTGCACGCAACGACGAGTGCTAGACAAATTCATAGTACCTACAAGAATCTCGTAAGTATAAGCCTTAAAATTCATAAGAAACGTTTCTTCTTCAAAAAACGAAAGATATTTTTCTCTCTTCATAAAGGGCAGTGATCTCCTCTGCTCATCACCAGGATTGGATGAGACATCTTGTGCGTCTGAGTCTTCTGCAGAGCTACTACACGCTTGTTCTCTTTCTGGAGCGGAGCCAGCGGTCGCTGTCATCCTGCCACCAGACAGGCTCACGGCGATTCCATTTTTTCGTCCCACTTCTTTTGAAGTAGATCTAGTTGTGCCAGCTGTCTTCACTTCTCGATTCCTTTCCACTCTTCTTGACGTAGATCTACACGACCCTCCAGATGTCAGCACTATGTTGCGCGACTTGTAGTTCTTTGGAGGAGCATCATCTCCGCTCGACCCTCCCGACCCCTGACTATAGGCACTCGAGCTCTGATTTGAAGAGTCGAAGCGCGGCTCCAGCGAAACCATCAGGCCTGCGTCTCCAACCCCACAAGCAACCAACACCGGCACCCCACCTTCTTGATAATGAAACCTACGGTGGTCATCTGGTGTACTAGGTGCAGTTCTACGCTGGTCCTTTGATGGTGGAGGTGGTATGCTTCTCCGCGGGTCCTCTGGTGAAGATGGTGGTGCAGGTGTACTTCTACTAGATTCTCGGATGTAATAGTTGCTCTGACTAGTTGAAAAAGATTGCAGCTCACTTTTATCTTCTTCGTGGTTGTAGCTCCTGTTCAGAGGACGCAAGGCAGTTACAGGACCGCGACTAGAATCTCCAGCATGCCGACTACTTGAGAGAGCCTGGTTGCCGCAGCGATCCCAGAGGCAACGCGATCCAGAGGCGACTTCTAGAGCAGGAGATCTTTGTGCGGCCCCTTCATTAGAGGCACCGACAACCCATTATTTTTAGAACATCTTTCAGCCTATGCCAAAACGGAATTATTGACTAAAAGATGGTGTAAAAGATGGGTTGACGGTATCCATAACTTCATCTACAGCTGGGCCTTGTTGACATGCAACAGGGCACGCGTGCATGCCGACCGCAGTCGCATCACTGGAGGATGCGTAGTCGGATTCGGATCCACATCCTAGGAAGCCGCGTTCGCTATTGAAGAGGGATAGCGGGGTGAGCTCCCGCGATTTCCCCATAAAAATCACTTCTTGATCCATAACCCAAGGTAAAACTGTAGTGGTCGGGGACGAAGACTCCTCCAACGCCTCCACAGCAATAGACGCTGCAGACGCTTCTACAGTGTGGAGGTTACTGCTGTGGGCACTAGTGCTCGGACGGCTTGATGAACTGCGCAAGCCATGTGATGTGCTGGCTGTATCCTCTATGTTTTTTTGCGCATGATCGTCCATTTGCTGAGTTATCACAGACGCGTCCTTCTGGAGGGCTGCCTTCTCAAATCTTCTTGAAGAAGTGTTCTCGTCGCCCACGTCGTCGATGAAAGGTGGAGGAGGTTTTTTACTCAATATTATTATAGCTGGTCCACTTAATACTATATTTTCCTGTCCTTTTCTTGGGCCTCTTGGTCGTTTCTTTCCCATAGACAGCATGTCAGAAGAGGAACTACTAGGACTCTTCGCTGGAGACGACCCCACTCTAGAAGAACTGCTCGACGTGGACGAACACAGTAGTGACAGTTCAGAAATCTCTTGTTCTACGGTGGTCGTATGAAGACCTGCTTGTGCTTCATTCTTTCTGCAGTTGTGTTCTTCGTGCGCAGGCCTCAAAATCCCTGAAGGTCCCCGAATGGTCGGTGCCTGCTTCTTTCCCTCGCGTGCCCACGGGTCAACCACCCGCGGCAACCCAGAGTTCAACGGAGGCAGAAAATACAGCTCCTGCTTGTCTAAATGATCCGACTCGACAAGGTGGATCAGGAGAGGCAAGACTCGCGTGCGCCATTTCTCTATACGCTTCAAGATTCGCCGCAATCGATCGGCGTCACATCGACTCGAAGATTGGCGATCATGTCCATGCTCACCATGTCCCTCTCCAGCTCGTTCTTCAAGCGCTTGTCTTATCTTCGCTTCGTGTGCGTCGAGACGACGCATTATTAGGGGTTGCAAGCTGATGAGCTATCCATCACTTTGCTACTGAGATATGCTTTGATATTTTATAATATAGCCTACTTCTATATGCTTTCAGATAAGACTGTAATGTCATGTCATGGTACCTCTTATGTAGCTATTTTAGTGTCTACTTGTGAGACTAATAGCTTGTGATCCTTAGATAATCAAAAGTGAGACTAATAGGTCAATTTGCAACCCTTACCATTAAGGATTCCGCGAATTCCTCAAGTCGTGCACACACTGTGTCTGTGTCTTCTTCTCCATTCTCCTCCTTTCGCGGAGTAAAAGCAGATGTAGATGGTTGAGCAACCCTAGAAGGAGCAGTGGTCGTACAGCGCTCCTCCGTTGCTTCTGGTGCAGCTCGTGCCTGTTGTACTTTGTTCACGGCTCCACCTCGTTTCTCAGCAGGGGCAGGTGTCTTGGTAAAATACACCTGTCTACCTGCTTGTTTCTGACGAGACGCCTGCTGCGGTGCTGAGGCACCCGCCAAAATTTCTGCGACATCTCTACTTGGCTTGCTTTCAGATACGGGCAGGAGGTTCTGCAGACAGCGACACACTTCCTCATGATCTTAGATGAAGACAAATATGTTTGCTTCTAAATATGATGAATGTAATTCGAATGTCTATAATAGGTACAACAGTGATGTCCTCGTACTTGAACTAAGTGTGAGGGAGACGTCTAGAACTAAGTGCCGCTTCCTACAAGAGTCCAAACGCTTCTCGCCGGTCGAGTACAGTATCCACAGACCTGCGGCGACAAGCAGACAAAATTGCCTCTCGCTTGCTAACCCAGCTTCTGCATACGTCCCCTCTCGTTCCCTCTGCGCTCATCCTCGACGGTTCTGGGCCTTCAGATGACTGCTCTTCGCTATGAAGATCCACATTCAGCTTCGGTTGCCACCATCGCGGTTTGCTTCGCCCTTCATCAGTTTTTAGGCATGATGTTATACTTCTTGGAAATGTCGGCTTCTTATGCGTGTTTTCCTCATGGTTTCCAGAACCAGAAGAAGTCTGCTCGCCTGTCGAGAGCGCTCGTTTTGTATCTCGTCTGTGGACTAGGAAACCACTTCTGGAAGGACCACTTCTGGAAGGTCGTTCTTCTTGTGAAGAACTAGTACTTCTCTGTTTGTTGTAGTAGTCGTGAAGCTCCGAGGACGCCGTTCGTTGTAATCGTGACCCACGACCTTGTTCAAGAGGCACTTCCGATCGTGGTCTCCACCCTTGCGTCAAGTCGCTCTCCACCTTGTTCAGGCCCGGATCTGAAGGTGGAGAGCGACTTGACGCATCACCTCCACTATCGCTCTCCACAAGACTGTTCAAGTGGTCTCCACGACCTTGTTCAAGGACTGTGATAGCAGAGATAGTGCTGACAACATCACCTCCTCTATCATTGCAGAGAGGAGAAATCCGTAGCAACGGACACGAATCTCTTACGTGATGTTCCACTTCGTCCAGCTGTTTACTACACCTAATATGCCCCTCATCTTCACGCAATACGTGATGGAATCGGTCCGCTTGTCCGTTCTTCATTGAAGTAGAGCGGCAGCCTTCTGGATTAGAGAAGTTGACAGCAATATTCACCTTCCAAGCCCATCATCATCATCATCATCATCTTCTCAGAATTTATAAGGGGCTGAAAAAAAGGAGGTCGGCCCACGTCCTCTTTGAGGATGAATTATAATATGAGCAGCCTTAACTGAAGTAGTTGCTCCTGTTCTAGAAGTAGGCGTCACCAGGAGTGCTGGAGATGAAGAACTTGCTGTTGGTCTTTTGTGGCATCTTCTATGGCTCAAGCTCATGCTGTCGTGATAACAAGGCCTCCTCCTACTTGTGGGTAGTTCTTCGCGTGTCCTTCTGCCTTGCTCGACGAGCGGCCGCTCCTGACGCGTGCGCCTGTTGCCTTCTCCTGAAACATTCGCAGGTAGTTTCGATTCCTTGTGGCATTCATCTGGGTCGTTTCGCATGTGAGCTCTCTCCTCGCGCTGGGTTTGTCTCACGAGACGGGCTGCACGCCGCACTATTTCTCGCGCCGTGGCGCTGCGGAGAATTGAACGTCGACACCCATTGGTCACTGATACCGAAAGAAGAGGGCCCTGCGCCTCTCTCCTTGTTTTCCCTTCGTTTTCCCCTGTTCTCTCACTTGGGCTCTTCTTCGATTTCAGTGACCAACCTCGTCCGCGCATCGTAAACTACCGGAGCCTATTTGACTGCTGGCTATCTTATCGAGACACCTCCGAAACCGCGGTTCTTGAGTCACATGATCCATCATCTCTGGCACAGAGTCTTCTGTTGGCACCTTCGCTGCTTCTGCCGACTTTTGAGAAGATCCACCTGCAAAGGTGTTGATATCGCCACTTCTTGCACCATCCGGAATCAAGGGGAGGTGTTTCTTTCCTGAAAGTAGAGGCTGTTGATCCACGATATTCTTCTCTCCGGACAAACGCTGTACTCCCACGGTCTGCTTCTTGCCTGATGAACCGAAGTCGCGATGAAAGAGGTCCGCAGGGAAAGCACGGACGGAAGGCGAGTTCTCATTAGCCAACGGACCGAAAGTATTAGTAGCACGACCTCCAGAAGAATTAATATTGTTACTAACTGGAGCAACACTCTTTTCTGGACTACTATCAAAAAAATCGTCGTTCTTTCTCTTCATCTTCTCTGTCGCGGAGGTACAACTATCTTGAGCTCCTGCTGTGGTACTAATATGTGGATGATCTCCTGCAGCAGCATCGTCTTGGTCTGGTGGGGTGGTTCTTCTGAATACCCGTGCTGGGGTGAAGATGCAGTAGGATACTGACTGCTCACTTCCTGCGACAGTTCCTGTGGAGAAGTTCGCGCATGAGTCGCGAGTCCCCAAACTAGTGTTGTTCCTCAAACTAGTGTTCCTTGCTTTAGAATTAACCCACGCTTGCTGTACTCCACAACAACACTGCTCAAACTCACCTGCAGTAGAACATCGAGGCTTAGCGTGTTGCGGTCTACTACTGCTACAACTAGGGTAGTCGAAGTCTTCAACATTAACATTTCTCACGACGTCGTCCTGTTCGACTGCCTGAGCACCAGGTTTGGCTCGCATTGAAGTCCCACAAGGAAAACTAGGCTCGGTCGTAGTCATCATCCCCCGGTTAGAGTTGCAGTACATATTAGACGGGCTTTTACCTAAAAAGTCCACAATCTACATGAGTGCCTATCAATCTTGGCACTTCTTGTGTTCGTTGTAAACACTTAAATCTTGGTATAATGTATGAGTACTTGTGTTGTGTACTTACCTTCATGGTAGTATGTGGTCTATGGGTACACGGGTCCTGATGGTTAGGGTTGTTTGCTTATCTTCTCGGTAGTGTGTGGTCTATGGCTAGTCCTAATGGTTAGTAGTGATCTTGGTACTCCGCCGAGGGAGGACTGCAAAGGCAAATCAGATAGATTTAGACTCATCTGCACGACGAGATCTCGAACTAAACGTCCTGTCGGAGATCTCGTCGTGCATCCTCTCCAACAACGTCGTTCATATCGAGCGTAGAAGTAGTACCCATAATATCGTCGTGTGCTGGAACTGCTGTTTCATCTCGAAGCTCTTGTCCAGTATCTCCTGCACCCTTCTTCTGCGAGTCCTGCGATGTGGCACTACGCGAAAGTAGATGTTGTTGAGTATCGCCATTTCCAGTGTCCACGTCTACCGCTTGTTCTTTGGGCATCGTCCCATTATTGCCGTAGGGAGCCCTAGTACTATCACCTTCCTCCCGTTCGTCTTTTGGCGTTGTAGCGTGGCCATCTCGTCTGATCTCCACCCACACCGCTCTTGCATCGTCCGATAGCTCAACCAAAAGCAGGCCTGCGCAGGAGAAATTGAATCTTCTGCACAACCGCAACATCTCGTTTCTTATACAAGTTCACAATCAAAAGCAGTCGCGTCATGCATATTGACATTCTTGGTCGAAATCAATATACGCGCAGCTGCTCACAAACTTGACATTAATCAGACCTCATTCTTGATAGTGGCGACTCTCAAAAAGCGAGCAACAGCTGAACTACGTATGTGTGAGTCAAGCAATGAGTTTGCCTCCGCAGGGCACCTGTTATTTTCCGAGAACGCCGAAAGGGTCGTGATCCTAGTGATATCCAGTGTGCCTCCCCTCAGCTGATAATCTATTCATACATGAACTTCCTAGTTTTCGTCCGTCATGCGTGGTCCGGGAGAACAATAAACGCTCATCTCGCTCACGCTCTGTGTCTTATGGATAAAGATCATAATGCAGATCATTCTTGGAAGGAGGAAATACACTTCCAGATCGCAGTGACCAGAGCTAGTGATCCACTTACCTAATATCAAAGAAACCCTCAAGAAGACCGCAGGAACGATTAAAATGGACCAGATCTACGTGAGGTATTAGTCACCCAGAGAAAGGCACCCAGATTTACCTAAAGGAAGTCGCGTGAAGGCTGTCTTTGTGCCTTGTGTGTATCCCTGATGATGCTGTTCCTAGCACCCGTAGAGATAAGCTATGATAGTGAACAAGACCGAAGCCAAGACGCTAACAGCATTTTTCGAGAGTGCCATCTTTCAGAAAACATACTTAGGTGGACGCCTGTCTCTGCAATCCAACACCTTCACAAAAGAGTCCATATTCCCGGAAGCGTTGTCGTTGTAGAAACCTTCGCAACTGTTAAATAACATAACTATTACGTCGCCTCATGTGAAACAGATAAAGATACTCAAGGAAAACATCTTCCTACCCTTGTCGTAGCAAAAAACTCCTACCACGTCGTTTCAGTGCAACACTTTCTTTGTACAGCGTTGTGATGCAACGGTGTGCTTATTCTGAGTACTATTTTCGTATTCCTGACACAAACGGTCAATTTGCTCCTTTGTTAAAGGGGTACCTGTGTTAGGTCCATTCATTTATCGCGCGAATCAGAGTACTCTCCTCTGCTCTAAAAAACTGTCTGTACCTTCGATTTGTGGTACTTGCCGAACTATTAGATCTTCCTGGAGTACATCTTGACAGTGATCTACCTTCCGCCTGTGTTTCCCTTAAAGGAGTGCCTCAAGATGCTTCTGACGATGTATTCCCGGAAGCCTTAAAACTAGCACTTTTTGATGCGCTTTTCTGCGTCGAATAAGATGTTCCTTTGGAACGATCGTGTGGACAGCTTCTTGTCGTAGTACCACAACTATTTCGCGTTTCGGCGGCGACAGCAGGTCCAGTAATAGTGCAGAAGTGCCATCCGTCCTTTCTTGGACCCTGCTTTGGAAGAAGTACAAGATAGAGATGCCGTAGACAGTGCGTGCCGTTCTTGTGGAAGACTCGTGCCAGACTTTGGAGCTTCAACATCTTTTTGATTTTGATCCAGGACGATCCGCGTTGTCTCGCCTTTAAAAAAGGTCGTTGTGGCAAGTCCCACCGAGTTTGAATGCAAGTTCCTCCATTGCCACCTTGTGAAGATGCATCTAAGGTAGTTAAAAAAGCGTCCTTTGCCAAGCCTTCGTCTGCTAGCTGCGTCAGCATAGGAGGCGTCAACCCTTGGCCCTCAGGCACCCATAGCACTCCGTCTATATAGGAACTACTAGCTTCGTTTTTTCTCCCGCCAATTAGAATGGCATGCTCTGACTCTTTACTTGTATCATCGATACCTTGCTGTACTGGCGAGACCCGCTGCAGGGCCGCAGTGAGGTAGGGATGTCTTGTGGACGCAGAGAGGCTAATTTTTCGGTGGCCACGATAGTATAGTATCTTGCCCTCATACAATTTCCCACGTGAGATGAGTTGCAGTCCTGCCATTTTTAGATGTCTCTTCCTTTGAAGATCTTACATCGCTATAATATGTTGATGCACTTGATCTCCTGCCTCCACCTCCACCCTCTTGTTCTTGCCTTACATCTTCCTTTCGCGCCTCTCCATCAACATCATCTTCTTGTCCTTCCCTTTGTTGGCCTGTAGCGTATAGATTTGAACCCGTCTACCGGGACCACCTGGAGACTCGAGGACGCGAGCACACAACTCACTTTAGAACTCACTACAATCCATCTTTTGCGCCATTTTTGTCCATTTTTCTAAAAGATGCGATAGACCAATTGCTCGACCAAGTGCGGACTCAAGGCTGGCAGTTCGATTCGTGGCACTTTGTCTCGAGTTGTTCCTTGTGGGTCATTAGACACCTCTGTGGCTTGTTCTAGTCGTTTGCAGGGAGTATCAAATGCCTCATCTCCAAATATCTCATCCCGTCGTGTTTCTCCGGAGCAGGTATCTTGCTGTTCAAGCGGCACCTCAATAGCCTTTGGTGAAAATGAGGGAGAGCCGCACTGTTGCAGTAGAGTAAGTCTGCACGCCGGTTGCTGTTCCACAACATTTCTACTAGTCCACTTAAACGGTTCCGCGTCAATTCTTAGAGCAATAGGCTGTGGTGGTAGCACACGTTGTTCTTGTTCTCTGTGATGTTGGTCCCGTCCGACCACCGTATTTAAGACTTTCGATACAACTGCCCTCCTACCACCTCCCAAATAGGAGTTACTACGCCGGCGGCGACATGGGCGCCATCGTAAAGCAGAAGGTGACGCGCAGCCTTCTTGTTGGATCAAACTGTAGTACATGATCGTCAGAATAGGAACGACCTGTTAGACAGATCTGCATTGATCGCATTTCTCTGCACAGAGTGGCACATACAACAGGGATGAGTCACCTGTTCATCGTGGATGTGGTGCTAAGAAACATGAGAGAAGAAAGCCTGATCGACTGGCAGCGCCGTTGCTCCTAAGATCCATGACACACCAGCCACATCAACTTCTTCTGATCACATCTTATCCTTGAACGCTGTCCTTACCACTTCCATACAAGCTACTCACCGCTTTGATTTTCTCCTTGAACACAACACAAAACTTATATGTCGAGAACGTCTGTCTCCTGCAAGTGTTGCTTCTCAACCTCTCCGCAGTTGCGTGGTGAAAGATGGTACAACTTACACTGTAGGTAAGGTCGGTTCTTCGGGTTCTTGTTCGCAGGTAAACTAGTTATGTGGCGCGACGTTTTCGAAAGATGAAAAAATGGGACATCAATTCGATCACACCATACGGAGCGAAAGAACCTACAGCTCTTGTTCTACGACTTTTTTAATACACTTTCGTTGAGATTAGAGAGTAGCCGACAACCGCTGGCTTCGTTGTGTTACGGAATCCAAGCTTTGCATTTTGCAAAGCCACCAAATCCATTCTTGCGGGAATATCGAAATTCAGCAGAGCTCGAACGTTTTTACGCAGCCATCGCCTCCACCGGTGAGAAGAAGCGGTCCTTGTAGATTAGAAGCGATAACTTGATGAGCATGATTTTTCGAACCTATGCACATCGCCATGATTTTTCGAAACCAAATCAAACTCATCTTCAACATTCTCTATTATTCATAATCGCAGCTCCCTGGGTCGCTGTTGCAGCCAGCACTCCTTCCTTGTGTACGTCTGTCACCTCGAATACGGGCGACGGTTTTTCAAGCTTCCACACTTTCAGGGTGCGATCCAGCGAGCCTGACGCCAGCAGCAGACCGTCCGACACATTAGAAATAATGCCTGTGCTGATCCCAAACTTGATAGAAACACAAAGGTACTATGAAATAATCCCGCAGCCCCCAGTTCAGTCGAAGGCCGCTACGTATCACGCAAGCGAAACTCCGGCGAAGCACACAAGCGAGACCGCGGCGCAGCAGCTAAGCGACACCGCGGCGCAGCAGTTAAGCGCAACCGCGGCGCATCACTTATAAGCGAGGCCGCGGCGCATCACTTAAGCGAAACTGCGGCGAAGCACATTAGCGAGACTGCGGCGCAGCAGTCAAGCGACACCGCGGCGCAGAAGTCAAGCGAGACCACGGCACATCACTTAAGCGAGGCCGCGGCGCATCACTTGAGCGAGGCCGCGGCGCATCACTTGAGCGAGACCGCGGCGCAGTACTTGAGCGAGACCGCGGCCTACCACTTAAGCGAGACCGCGGCGCACCACCTAAGGGGGGCCTTGGCCCCTAAACCGCTAAGAGAGGCCCTGAAGCCGTTAAGGAAGCCCCCGAAACCGCTAAGCAAAGCCCCCGAAACCGCTAAGCAAAGCGTCCGAAACCGCTAAGCAAAGCGTCCGAAGCCGCTAAGCAAAGCGTCCGAAACCGTTAAAAGAGGGCCCGAAACCGTTAAAAGAGGGCCCGAAACCGCTAAAAGAGGCCCCGAAGCCGTTAAGGAAGCCCCCGAAACCGTTAGGGAAGGGCCCGAAACCGGTAAAAGAGGGCCCGAAACCGTTAAAAGAGGGCCCGAAACCGTTAAGCGAGGCTTGAAACCGTTAAAAGAGGGCCCGAAACCGTTAAAAGAGGGCCCGAAACCGTTAAAAGAGGGCCCGAAACCGTTAAGCGAGGCTTGAAAGCCACCGCGCATCGCATGCACCCTCTTCAGGCAACAGGCCTCCCAACGTACAATAAAAGCTACTAAATTGCATTCACACCTCTGTCTACTCCGCTACCATAACATTCGACAACCATTGGAGAGCAGTGATTTTCGAGGTATGGAAGCCAGTCCAATCTACGCTTCTTCCAGCTACCTCACCCTCCACTTTTCCATCCCAGGAGTGCAAGGATACGGCGCGCACGTTCTTGGCGTCGTCTCCAACGGCTAGAATAACAAGCATTAGAATCAGGCTGATGAATTGACATCTTGTATACACGGGCTTTTTCTACGTCAACTGCAGGTCATACTAATGTTTGTCATAATTTCCCGTCTGGCATTGTGGAAAAGTCCATGGCGGTAATGTTGCCTTTCGAGGCTGCCGCATCGATTTCTCCAACGCGCTTCCCCGTTAAGGCATCGAAAAGTACCACCGAACGAGGTGTCACGTGCATCTCACTACGGTTACTGGTCTCGTCCGGACGCAGGGCGACTGCCAAAGATGAAGACAGGAAGAGGCTGTCACTATTTGTTGATATTTTGAGAATCGCTTTGATGAAGTTATTGCCTGGAAACTGAACATGTATTTTTGTGTAATCCAGAAAACACACACACACACACACACACACAGACTGTAGTTCTACAATTCATTGGGGGACCTCGCATAACACTTTTGCTCCTTGCCCAGCGACTGAAAGTCCTGCCAATGCGGTTACTTCAGCCCCAGCAGGGACCCCGCCCAGGTCGGACGCAGCGGCAACAGAGGCTTGCGCCACATCAATCGCAACGAGCTTCTTTTGCTTCGTTACGACCATCAGCATCTGCCGCCCATCCGAGCTTGTCACGTTGCAGGACGAAACTGCAAACCCGTATTGCTTGTAGTCTACTTTGCGTTCGCCCTGGAGCTCCAAGTCCCATAGACGAACAGTTTGGTCTTTACAGGTTGCTTGTACACAGCCACCGCTGGACACCGTTACCCTGATAATCGGTGACTTCAAAAACGTGCGCGCCACAACCGCTCCGTTGCTCGGTTCCATCTTGCACAGGGAGCCACACAGTCCTCCGAAATAAGCAAAGCTGGCGTCTGGTGCCTGTCGTGTTGTAAATTTTCAGTACCTGCTCTACCTTCTCAGATAAAAGCTTTTGCTACTCTGTTCTTATGTAATAGTTCATCAAAGCTAAAAAAGACATGTACAACGTACCGTAGCCACAGAGGCAACCGCACATCCTTGAACGCCATCCCAACTAAAGAGCTCAGCACCAGTGTCCCTATTGAAAAATCGTAACGAACCAGAAAGGGTAAGCGTAACCAGTGGACCATCGGCTTGGATATTAGAAATGTTGTTGAGAAGCAGTTAATGCAACAGCACAGTGGGGATTACATAAAATCTCTTCTGTGACCGTCAGAGAAGAGAGAGTCAATACCGAGAGAGATCACTAAACTTCAAATCTTATCTGCTATTACGGGAGAGGGAGAGAATGGCCAGTTGATGTTTTTTTGCCATACTGTCTGCGGCGCAGCCTAATCCTAGAGGCATGTCGTCAATCTTATCTCCAAGTTTTATTGTTTGCGTCAACGCACTCTGTGCCACATCGAAGATCCGCAAGGTCCTGATGTAGCTTCATTTGTTGCAACAGTTCTGTGCTACATCATTGATCGTAAAAGAAACATCTAAAGAGCAAAGTGAAAAATAAAGTTGCCGTAGTATTATAAGGTTAGTTGTCGGTTAGTTAGTTAGTAACGAAGGCCGAGAAAAAATGGTTTTTCAAAAAAGTTGTAAGTACTTATCTCCACATGCTAAGGCAAATGAAGTTGCCGAGAGCCAGCTCAGAGCCCACAGCGAGCATTTGCTGTCACTGGGCATTACACAGAGCTCTTTTTCCATGCCTCCCGTCTTAGGATCGTATTGAAAGACGCGACTATCAGATCCGCAACTGACCAGAGTCGCTCCGTCAGGGGAATAACGTGCGGCATTCGCAAAGTTCTGATGACACTGCTCGCTTTGCATAATGAAAGGGTAGAAAGAGTTTTCTTTTGGGTAAGGATTGCATTTCTTGTTTGGAATTTTGTTGGTCGTCTTCAAAATGAAAATCAAATGACTCACTCGCCTGAAGAAAAAAGTTGTAATAGTAGATGCGCGTCAACCTAAGCGAAGGCCCCTCCTGAGTAGAGTACTTACAGTATTATTGCCATACTTTCAAATTTGAATGGTGGTCCGGCACTAGTAGCGACCACGAAGTCTTCTCCTGCAGTGGCAACACGAAATGGTCGCGAGGGCTTGTAGTGGACACTGTTGATCCGTGCACATGAGAGGAAAAGAGGGACCCTAGGAAGACAGGGATACTTCATCCAATGGAAACTGAGAATCCGTCACAAGGATGTAAAAACAAACCAACATGCTTTTCTAATCATCTAAGACAGACTCTTCAGGAGTCGACAATATTATAAGAAAAAGTCGCATCATCTTCACGTCATAACTTAGAATGATGAGATATTTGTCCAACTGTGTTGCCGGTCTCTGCGAGGATGCAGGTAGCTTGATTCGCGCCACCGCCACTGACGGCTAATCGCTGAGAATCTGGGTCCCATGCAATATCCGTAATTCTCTTAGAAGAGGTCTATCAACTACATACCTTTATAAGCTACATACTTAAATAATTAACTACATACTTTTAATTTAAGTACTTCATTTTGTTCCTAGCTTCCATTATTTTCTCTCAGTACGACATCCTAAGAAGGAAACGGTGACTCGCTCCTCTTTCCATTTTCTCGCAGTACATCCTACTAGCAAGGAAACGAGCAGTGAGAAGTGGCAAATTATATTACAGAAATGAAACGAAGAAATTGAGCCTTAATTTTGGACCCCGGGAATAAATTAAGCTCCTTTTTTTCGAGGCGCTCTCCCTTCGTACTCCATACGCGAACTTTGCCACTGGCGTCTCCGCTCGCAACGTAAGCGCCAGACGGAGCGAAGCGGACGGCGGTGACCGCGGCGGATCCGTGTCGCGTGAAGATAAACAGCTCGTTTCTATTATGAAGACAACAGGGAAAACATGGAATGTATGATGTTGACCCATTGGACTACTTACCTCAAAAAGGCCTCAGAGTCGGAAGTTACAACTTAAATCTCAAATATAGTTTTTCAACAAGCAGGAAGATTTTTTTCTCATCAACATGGTAGTAAAGATAGAAAGAAATAAAGAAAGACCTTTAGCGGAGTAAATGCTCTCATCACGATAAAAAGAATTATGTGGAGCAAAACAACCCTACTGGGGATGGGTCATGATCATTCTTTATTCTATATCATTCTAGATAGACAGAAGTAGGACAGTAAAGATAGAAGGAAGTATGGGAAGTCCATATTCTCGTCCTGCCATACCTATCATCGAGGCTACGAAGAACAACGTTGTTGCCTGCCGGATACACCACATGCGTCGCATTCACGTCGATCGGCAAAACAACACCCCGTTCGGCGCTGGCCAAAGGCGGTGCCAATGAGACTTCACGAAACATGTTTTTGTAGTTCTTTAGATTGATACTATCCAAGTATTGACCTGGCAGAATTACTTAGAGGAGAAAAAACGAACTTGTGATTGCTTGTAAACAAACTCGTAGGCCTTAGAATTTACGAACTTGATTGCTTGTAAATAGCAAAATAAAATAAAAAATCAATCACACAGTTTGTACAGCTAGAGTACTGCTCCCCGCCTGATGCTACGAAAGAACATGTATTTGAATATTATTTTGGGACTATAATATAAATCAGACTTGGATCGTGGATTAGGTCCCGGTCTCTCTCCTCGTCAGGCGGTGGATCCTGCATGCGAAAGGCTTTCATTCCAGAGAAGAGAGAACAGTAATAAGAACCTGAGAAATGAAACACTTATCATCACAACTCGAGGAAACTGTACAAGCTCCGAATTTCGTATTTGTCGTACTCGGTCGTTTGCACAATCATGAAAGAAAGACTCTGCAAACTACGGCAGTCTTATTGCACGCACTTGTTATACGGGATAACTATCAGTGGAGGAAGTTTGTTCAACAACGCAGGGAAATTGTGAGGCACCATGAATAGAGCCTCGTCGCCTTTCATCGTAAAAAGGCGGGAGATGGTTTCTATGCCATCGCAAGAAAAAAGAGCTCCTGGTCCCTCTGTGGCACGGGGCGATAATCAGTTCTCACTGCTTCAAAACACTACGGGTCGGCAAGAAAGAACTTCGACTCGGGAGCAGCAGACGGGGCTCGGCGCCTCGTGGGCGCCCGTGGTTTCGTGCGAGGGCGTCTAAACCAACCCCAAGAAAGGCGCGGAGTGGTTGAAGCTCTGCGCTGCGCGTCTGGTATCGACTTAGCGCGGGCCGGCTGCTAGGCTGCTCCGCGCTCCGCGTCTGTCTCTTACCGACTTAGCGCGGGCCGGCGGCTAGGCAGCTCTGCCCTGCGCGTCTGTTATCGACTCAGCGCGGACCGGCTGCCAGGCAGCTCCGCGCCGCGCGTCTGTTGTCGACTCATCGCGGGCCGGCTGCTTGGCAGCTCTGCGCCGCGCGTCTGTTGTCGACTTATCGCGGGCTGGCTGCGAGGCAGCTCTGCGCTGCGCGAATGTTATCGACTTAGCGCGCGCCGGCTGCTCAGCGGCTCTGCGCTGCGCGTCTGTTGTGGACTTATCGCGGGCCGGCTGCTAGGCAGCTCCGCGCTCTGCGTCTATTGTCGACTTATCGCGGACAGGGGGCCCGGCCTGGGCTCGAAGGGGGTGGCACTTTCGGGCGAATTGCGAAGACTGCGCGCCACCTAATGGCGGAGGCAAATTCTGAGGCACCAGCTTCGCGACAGACAAGCAAACGAGCGCACGAGCGCGGACAGTCAAGGCGTCGAAAAAGGGTGACTTCTTAAGGGGGTCACCTTCGCAACGCGAAGAAGCGCCGCACTCTTAAGCGAATTGCGAGGGCTGCGTGCGGTAGTGGCGGAGGCAAGGCCCCAGGTACCAGCTTCGCGACAGGCAAAAAAACGAGCGCACGATCGCAAACAGTCAAGGCCTCGAAAAAGGCGACTTCTTAAGGGTGTCACCTTCCCAACTCACAAAGAGCCGCACTCATAAGCGAATCGCGAGGACTGCGCGCCATCTAGTCGCGGGGACAAGGCTCCAGGCATCAGCTTCGCGCGCAAGCTTGAACGCTGCGGAGTCTCGTGCCTGCTTTGCGCTGGTCTCGACTAGATTCGCAGTAGGGAAAGGAACCGGCGGAGTCTAGTGGTGACCTGCGCTTGGTGTGTGTTTGGCCTGCGTTTGGTTTCGGTTTCGCTTGCGTTGGGTCCCGATTTCGCTCGCGTTTGGTTTCAGTTTGGTCACGGTTTGGGCTTTGTTGGGTTTCTTTGGCGTGGGTTTGGCTTAAGTGGGTTGCCTAAGGCTACCAGAAGGCGGCACACTTTTGCGCATCTTTCACCTAGCCTTGGCCTTCTGGTCTTGGACTTTTTTCCTGGTGGTGACTGGAACAAGGTGGGCACAGGCTGGCAACTTCTGGACCATTTTCCAACTTGAGCCCTCAGGGCTTTGATGTTTTTCCCAGTGGTGCCCAAGATAATCTCTGCGCGATTGGACAACTTTAGGACCATTCTACAACTTGAAACCGGTAAGCGCTGGAGCTTTTTCCAGTGCTAACTGAGTAAAAAGCTTGTAGGCTTTGAGACGTTTGCACCCTTCTCGCCATCCACTCCAAAAAGGAGACAAAAACAAGGGGAGACGGGTCAGGAGTAGGCAGATTATTGCCACCGAGGTGCCACCTCCGAACTTATCTCTAAGTCCTGGGGTGGCAGCTCGGCGAAGGGAATCGCTCTGCTCCTGTTTCGTCTCGCCAGCTTTTTCTTTGTGCGTGGCAGTCGTGGCAGGGATTTTTTCAAAAGCTTGGCGCTTTTCATTTTCTAGAGGAGACCGGACCAGCTTGGAGAGACTCCAAACTTTTACCAAAATGAAGGGAAGGCCCTGCAGAATCTCACGAAAATGCTAGCAAACCAAAAAAGTTAAAAACTCGGCAAAAATCGGGAAACCGCAGCCAGTCAAGGGAACCTGGTCGCGCTACAAGCTTAAACGCCGGGCGGGGTATTAAAAATTGGAAGCGGGTAAGCCTTGCGGCCTACCAATATCAGACCAGAAGCAGGCCGAGCCCAAAGCGAAGAAAACTGGAAAGCTTCTCGACATTGGGAGGACTCTGCGGCCATCTGCTCTAACATCAGAACCGCGACGCCGCACAGCGTCGGCGTCCGCTCGGTGTCTAGATTCCTCCACAGTCTAGACGCAGCCATCTGTCTGCGCATGATTCTAATAGTTACGCAGTAGCCACGCGATGCAGAACGCATCCCCGCGCAAGGCTTCGGCGGCGGCCTCTTGCGAGCCTGCCGGAGGCTTTGCGAGGCGGCTCCCGCGGGCTCTGCCCCCGCCTCCCAGGCTTTCCGAGAAGCTTGGAGAAGACTCACCCACGAGCCTCGACCGGGCTGCCGCAAAGGCCTCGGGGCGCCCGCGGTCCCGAAGCAGTCCGGCGCCCGTTGTGGTTTTTTCTATGTTCTTGCGGCGGTTTGGAGCCGTCTCTGAGTGTCTTCAAAATGACAGGCGGACACGTCTCAGATTGATCAAATTCGCACAGTTTCGACCCCTCACCGCAGCGGCTTCATTTCGTTGGGGAGGTGGATCTCCTTCCCCGGATGAACGAAACCAGAAGCGACCCCGGCCGCCTGTGGATTCTAGTCGCGAGGGCTTCCCGACTCCGAGGGGGCTCCTCGTCTTGAAGAAGTCCAGAGCCCGGCCGGAGCTTCCTGAAAGACAAAGACGGGGAGCGCACTGCACGCGCCTCATAACCCACCGCCAGCCACCGCGCGGCGCCCTCGAACCAAGCACGAAGAAGACCGAGCGGGACACACTGCGCACGCAGTGCAGCCCGCCACCAGCCACCGCGGCGCGCTCTCGAATCTCCCAGAAGAGAGGAAAACGAGAGGGAAACAAAAGAGAAGACAAAGGCAACACGGGCGGGACCGTGTCGACCGGGTCACCACTGGAGAACCACGCGCAGCCAAAGCCGCAGCATCGCCACGCCATCCCGCCCCTTGCCCCTCTTGTTCCTCTCCCCGCAGCTCGAGACTCGAGGGCGCGCCGCGGTGGCTGCTGGCATCGGGCTCCCTGCGGTTCAGAAGACCCGAGAGGCAGAAGATGGAAGAGCAGAGAAGACGCACGCGCAGCGCGTCGCAGCCTGCCCCGGTTGGGTTCCACGCTCAGCGTAGGCCCCAAGCCTGGCCCAAGTTTCGAGCATGCTGCGAGTTTCGGCCCTTCCTCGAGCTCCGGGCGTGCTTCGGGCTCGCCTGTTTGGCTTGCGACCGGGCGGGCTTCCGGCGGGCGGGTTTGGTCGGCTTGCGCTTTGTTTTTGAGTGTTTTCGGGTGGCGTTTCCGTTTGGCGTGGGTTTGGTTGGCGTTTGGCTGGAGTCTGGTTTGCGTTTGCGCGTGGGCGTGGTTTGGGTTTGGTTTGGTTTGAGTTTGGTCCGGGCTTGGTTTGGGTTTCGGCCCGGTTTGCGTTTGGTTCTGGTTCGGCTCGGGGCTGGTTGGCGTTTAGCCTGTGCCTGGCCTCTGTGTGGTTTCGGCTTCGTTTGCGTTGGGTTTCGGTTTCGCCTGCCTTTGGTTTCAGTTTGGTCAGGGTTTGGGCCGGTTTGGGTTTCTTTGGCTTGGGATTGGCTTAAGTGGGTGGCCTAAGGCTACCAGAAAGCCGCGCACTTTTGCGCGTCTTTCAGCCTGGTCCTTCTGGTCTTGGACTTTTTTCCTGGTGTTGACTGGAACCAAGGAAAGCGGGCACAGGCTGGAAGCTTCTGGACCATTTTCCAACTTGGGCCCTTAGGGCGTTGATTTTTTGCCAGTGGGGCCCAGGGAATTCATTGCACTGCTTGGCAACTTTTGGGCCATTTTTAAACTGAAACCAGTAGCCTCCAACTTTTTGGAGTAGTCTCCAAAAGCTTTGCGCTCGATTTGGAAAACTTTCGGACCTCCTTGCCCGGCGTTTGAGCTTCTAGCGCGAATAGAAACCGCGCACGCTTTCGCAAGCTTCTTTGTTTTCCTGTTCCATTGAAACCACAGGTTCCTGCTATGATCATACCAAGGGTATGAACATAGCGACGGAACCAAAAAACTCGCCCCCAATAAATAAGTAAATACTTGCTTCTGCGAACGGTTCGAGCGGTTGATGATCACCCACGGATCCACCTGAAAACGAGGATCAGACGAAACGCAGGCACCAATCGAGTACGAGATCGAATGGGGCTCAGTCTCCACGCGGCCAGTGCCATCGCGGACGCTGTTCCCAGGCAGAACGATCGTCTGAGGGCGAGACGTAATGCCACGCATACCAGTTTCGTCGAAGTTGAGCAGAACGTACTTTTTTCCTGCTCCGCGCTGCTGCTTCAACTGCTCGAACTGCTCCCAAGACTGATAGACTTGGCGACGAAGGTTCTGCCCATTACGACGCCCGCGGAAACGAGGAACCGTACGCAGCAGACGAAGGTCCCAGCGGTTCAAGAACTTGTGAGTCCAGCTGTTTGCCGCACTGCTGCCAATGCCTTGGCGTTGAACAAAATAGTCACTAACACCTTCAGCGCCCAGACGTCGAATGAAGTGCTCCTGAATCTCATCAGTCGTGCAGGCACGGTTGCGAGCACGGACCCAAGTTGCAGTCTCACGCTCTGCAGCTTCGATTGCGCGCCCACGAGTAGTGCGGTTGCGGGCAACATAGGGAGCTGGGCCACTTCTGCGCAAAGCTTGAGTATATCCACGAGCATTGATGAACCAGCCACGTTGAGCACCAGGACGAGGCCCAACGGGAACGTGCTGGCTCTGCTGACGTGATACACGAGGTGGCATTTTTACTTTTTGTTCTGCTTCCTTACTCCTCGAGCAACGCCTGGCTTTGTTCCCTTTCCTTTTTTCTCAGGCACCCGTCCGTCAGCACTCAACTCAACGTCCTCAACAGCAGTCCCTTCGTCCCCTACAAGGCTAGCGTAGTCAGCAGCTTCGATGCTCCCAAAACCTTGCCCAGGAGGAGCCACTTCACCGTGCAGCGCCTCGCGAGCAGATTCGACGAGACTCGAAGGCAACTGCTCGTCACGACTGCCGCCAGCGCCTGTCAGAGGATTGATGTACCCAGACACCTCCTCACGCCCTAGCGACGACGAAGTGTTCTGCTGCTTCAGCAGCTCTTGCCGCTTCTTGGCCTTCTCGCGTCGCTCTCGAGCTTTCCTCTCGTCTTCAGCTAGTAGCAGCGACTCTTCGTGGCCTAGTACCTCCACAGGTCTTCCTGCGCAGAGCGAAAGCTGCCGACTGCTCTGGGCACGCAGTTTTAAATCCGTCAGCTTGTTGCGCGCTGAAGCTTTTTCGTCCGCTTTCTGGCGAGAAGCTGCCTTGGATTTCTGCTTGCGCAATTCTGCGATGTCGCCACGCAGTTGCTCAACTTGGCGTTCGCAGCGCTTCAGCTCGGCTGCTGTATTAGAACCGAAGCTAACTCATCTCTTTTTCCATAGAGCAACTCAGAGACGGTGTCTCAGTATGCCTATACTGAGACACGCGCCTCATTGACCTCATCGAAATAAGTTAGCAGATGGCACAGCCTTAACTTTCTGCTCAATCCGTAGTGCCAAGAACTCACGCCCACTGAAGTCCATTATTCACCGAAGCTCCGAGCGCTTCCTGCTTCGAATAGAGGAACGTCTCAAAAAATTTGAAGAAGTGAAGATGCTCACAGAAAAAGTGAAAAGGTGCTGAAGCTACTCGAATGCAAGTGAAGTATGGATGTCTTTTGCCGATCACAAGTTGCGCAATGTAAAGAATATACCAGACTACCAGTCTTTGATCTCAGATGCAAGCTGTAAAGGTTATTGTCTACTTTTAACGTAAACGCCCTTATTGGTCCCTGCACAAATTAAGTTAGATAAATCAACTTGCTCAATTCAAAAATGACCGCGGTCAAAAAAGTAGAAGGTCGGGGAAGCCAGGCACTGGGGAGAACATGCGCTCTCTCTCACAGATCCATATACTTCGGCTGCGTTCAGGGACCTTCTAGCACACTCTCATAAATATTCTCTCACTCATAGATCTACTTTCTTGCGCTTGAGCTCTCAGCTCCAGATCTTCACACAATTGAACGAGGATCACTAAAGTGGATCTCGGGGCCTACGCCTGCTGGAACATTACGCCAAGAGGCGACGAGATCTTCTTTGATGGGTCGCAGTAGCTAGCTTCAGATCTTTACAGAAGTTGCACAAAATATTTGGAATGCTCGGCTTTGAAGATCTCACTTTTTTACAGATTAAATTTCAAAGTTGTCTCATACTACTCTTTATACATATTTCAAGTGTACACTTAGCTTAATAAATTTCTCATACGATCACAACTCTATCAATCAGGAGTGGGCCACCAGAGACCACCCTTGTCGCTGTGCGCGGCACATGCCCAGCACTTCTCATCTTCATCTTCAACCGGAGCAGGCGCTGGCTGAATCTCAATCGGAGATGAAGAAGTCGCAACGACCTCGCCCGAAGCAGCCGGAGCTTCATCAACTAGACGAAGAGACTGCAGCGGTCTCGCCTGAACCTGCATAAACGAGACCAGGCAAAACCGCCTCATCGTCCGAAGTCGATGTGATCACAATCGGCTCATCCGAGTCACCGAACAGATCTCCACTAACGTTGCCGCATGGCGCGCCCGCCCTCAGCTGTGCTTCTTCGTCTCGTGTTAGAGGAGATAAGACGTTCTCTTCGTCTGAGTTCGATGAGCAGTAGACGACCCCTTCCTGCGCAAGGTGGCTGCGGCGAAGCTCGTCATCCTCTCGGCGCTTCTCCTCCAACAGTTGCGACTGCATGGCCAAGTGATCTAGGTGCGCCATCAGTTCCACCGTCTGCTTGTTGTACTCCTCTTCGATGGCCTCAAGCTCGCCACGGTTCGAAGCGATTTCAGAACGCAGCTTCTCCTTTTCTGCGATCTCGTCGCTGAGTTTGATCTTGAGGTCCTTGTTCTGTTTTGTTGCCTCCTCCAGAGCGGATGTGAGGCTGTTCACCGTCTCCGTGCGATCCATCTTAGCCGCCACAGCTTCCAGCTCTGCCTTGTGCTTTTTCGACAACTCCGTCTGCTGTGCCGCCAGCACCTTCACCTCCGCCTCAAAGCGATCAGCACGCTCACCTTCATGCTTCACACTGGCCTCAAGCGTCTTCACCTGTTCGCCTAGAACAAGGGACTCATCGGCCAGATCGGTTCTGCGCTGCTCATGGGTCAGCTTGACGAGCTCCACATCATTTCGCGCACGAGCCCATGCTTCACGCAGACGCTCGTCCGCACTACGAAGCTCATCGCGAGCTTTCCGCAGATCATCTAGTCGCCCCTGCGCCAGCTCGTTAGACCGCTGCAAAGCTGCTCGTAGCGACGTGAACTCCGCATCCGCTGCAGCCTTGTGCACACGGGCATCCTCTTCGCACTTGCGCGCCAACTGCATATCTGCCTCAAGCGCCTGCAAAGATTGCTCTTTCTCCTTGGTCTCGTTTTCCCAGTACGTGCTGAACTTGCGCACTTCATCCAGCTCCGCCTTTGCGTCTTGCAGTTCCTTCTGCGCGACTTGAAGCTTCTTTTGCTCAGCCGTTGTTGCGTTCGTTGCAGCCCAATACTTCTCATAGAGCATGCTGATTTCGTTGCTCTTTTTCTGCAGTTCGCTCACTTGCACAGACGGGACAGCAGTTGATCGCGATGTCTGAGCAGTTGTCAGGACAGCAGGCTGACTGCTCGAGGCGCCGACTGGCCTCGCGAATTGCGAAACGCCCGTAGTACCTGTTTAATATTTCTACCCATGAAGAAAACGACTTGGGTACTAGTCAAGTTGTATTTTCTGACGCATACGCTATTTTTTTAATGCACAAGCAACCACACATATCCAGCCTCGAAAAACACTATATCAAGAAGCACCTGGAGGTCCATGCCTGTTCACACCCGAGGCTGACGCATTAGACGCAAGCTGGTTGGTCGTGTATGGTCCTGGGCGCGACAGCGTAGTGTTTGCTACACCATAGCGATTATGCTGCTGAACGCCCGCCTTCGGCTGTTGAGAGCCCGCTTGCGGCTGCTGAAAGCTCGCCTTCGGCTGTTGAAAGCCTGCCCTCGGCTGTTGAGAGCACGTCTGAGGCTGCTGCAGTCCCGCCTTCGGCTGGTGACTTCCCACTGATGGCTGTTGATGGCCAGCCTTCGGATACTGAGTGCTAGCAAGAGCAGCAGCCTGGCCCTGCTGCTGAATCATCTGCTGTTGCTGATACAGCTGCTGCTGCTGCTGCTGCAGCACCCGCAGCTGTGCTGCGACCTGCGCGGCGAGTGCATTCTGTTGATGGGACATTTTTTTGAAAATTGAGCTTATTCAACAGAAACCCCCATCATAAAAACATACTTTGCTGGATTCAGGCCACGACAAACGGAAATGCGTACTGAGCTCATTCAACAGAAATCTTCATCATAAAAACATATCTTGCTGGATTCAGGCCACAAAAGGAAACTCGTCTTGAGCTTATTCAGCAGAAATCTTCATCATAAAAA